AACTTCAAAGCTCTGGGCTGCTGCTGTTGTTTTTTTTGTGTGTAATGATTTGGTGATTAGTTTGTAAGCTGGCAGGGCCATCTTTCCACCCATCGGCGAGAGGGAAGACGGAGTTTAAATGAATGCTTTACATCACTAATAATTAACGTGATAGTCAGCCTCCCCTCTGTTACTTAATGAAGCGGAAAATAAGGCAAGGGTTCTGGGATGTGCAATTGCTGTTTACCCTTCTGCCCATTCCTGGGGTTTTCTGCTTACACACAGCCCTCTCCTACACTATCCTGTGCTTAGCACCCAGTTGCCACAAATTCTAAATGGAAATTCTGCTTCATCTTGGTTTGGATACTCATTTAAGCATGGTGATGGGTTTCCGCATGTATCAGACGCCCACCCGGCTGGCCCCAAAAAAATACGAAAGAGTTGCTTTTTGGTAGCTGCTTTCTGTTTTGGACATTGGAATATAGAAAGTCTCGCATCATGGTATTGATTTTTACAGTCAAATAACATCTGAGAGACACTTTTCAAAAGAGTGAATCTGTACACACAACCATGCATGTTCTGTTAAACAGCCGGGAATGTGGCACCCTGGAACATTTTTCTAACGTGAAGGGTGCTATACAGTGTAATTTGTTGTTTTGTTGTTGCGCACTCTTGCCGTAGCTTGGTGGATATTTCACTTGCACAGCAGAGAAGTTATGCACGTGAGACAAGTTGCACTGTTTGAGGAGAGATGAGAAATCTGTGCACTGAAGTTCACGAGATTGGGATGAAGACAGTGCTTTGACCTATTTGATCTTGAATACTCATTAAGGGTTTGTAAAGGCTTCCAGGAATGATTCTTAAAATTAATGCATATCCACAATTCACAGAAGCTGACTGTGTCTCTTTATGAGCTTGAACTCGACCTTTTTGGGTCAAACTTCATGCAGAGAGGCCGTTACCAGGAATGTAACAGCCAGATTCTTAGTATTTAATATTTTACTGCACAGACTATGTTACCCAGTTACTTACCACTTGGATAAAAATATTACTGTCTTGCCACAGGCTATAATCAATAACACACAGATATTTAATAATCAAGAAAGAGTAATAAGCAGCCAGGAATAATGATACATAAGCACATAGACTAACAGCTAAGAATTAAATTATCTTTGAAAAATGTCTTATGAAATAAAAAACTAAAAAAAAAAATTATTTCACTCAATCTACGAATGTTTGTGGGACGCTGCTGTGCACAATTGGCTGCTGCGTTTTGCCCACAAAATATACAGTCAATCCACTTTACAGTATATTTTGTGAAACATTTTGAGAGGTCTCGAAGACCTGATAAGGCGCTGTATCAAATGCAAGGATTATTATAGGTTTATTATTATTAAAACTGATTTATTTTTAGCTTAGTTTGAGAGTAACCATCAAATTTCCAATCACATGAAACAATAGAAGTTTCTCTTTGACCTCAGAGCCTGTTAAAGAACCATTTGAATCATTTTACCTTTTTGTTGCTCAGGCCTCTGAATTGCTGAATTGGGTGTGCTCTTGAGGGGAGCAGTGGCTCTTGAGATGAGAGATTCTCTGAATGGGAGTAGGTGCTCTGGACCAGTAAAATTTATGCAAAACCAGTTGTGTGCATTGCACCTGAGAGGTACATTATGTCTCTTAATGTGGAAGGATTATCACGGTTTATAAGTAATTAGATAAAGGATGAGGAGCTCTTAAACCGATTATTGTTCACAATACGCAGTGCAGAAGCAGGATATATTTACAAGTACCTCTCTAGTTTAGCTAGAAATCGTTCAATTGTCTATCACTTGCTTTTTTTTTGGTATTTCAATAAATACCGCAGCTGCTACTGTCTTCTCGGCTGCACCGTTGATCTATTGGTTTTGTGCACATAGAGGGGTTTATAAATCATCATAACATAGCTCCAGGAATGACCGTGCTAAGGGCTGGCAAAGTAGATTGCGACTAACGGCCTCGGCAGGGAGGAAAAAAAACTGGTATGTGCACTGCCTCTGACAGCTTACTGATGGCGTTTGTTTTCTGTGTCTGTGCGATTGCCATTGGGGCAGCACTACTGGGAGCACTCGGCATGAGTCTCACTCGTGTTACACTCTGCCATTTAACAAGAAAGCTTCTTTCCTTTCCACAAGGGGAAGGGTGTGTGTATGTAGGGAAGGGATGCGAGAAAGAGAGGGAGAGATGAATTAGGAGAGGGAGAGAGGAAAGAGGGTGGGGAGAAGGAGTGAAGGGCAGAGAGAAGGGAACGTCTATAAGGAAATCTATACAGTTAAATGTTTTGCTGTGGCACTGTTTTTTGGTGGAAGCTACGGGTTGTCTATGTTAGAAATGTGGAGAGAAGTGTGGAGTGCACATTCGTGACAAATGGGAAACTAGTGTGAGATTTGCTGATGTTCTCTCCTGGTGAACATCTCTTGCGCCGAAACTGGAACCAGAGAACTGTCTCCCTTAGACTTCATCTTCCTCTTCTCAAACATGAAAAACAATATCATTGCACAGTCAGAAAATTGTAGAAAAACATAATATACAGCAAAATCTCTTCACTCTGCAGATGCTGTCATATCTCCACAATCCTGTAGCATTTTTTTAGACCACTCGCCTCGCAAGCGAGAGGACTTGGGTTTGATTCCTGGACAGGGCGAAACGTTAGGCAAGTCTCCTTACTCCACATGTCTCTGTTTACCTAGCATTAAGTAGTAACCTCAATGTTAGTCGAATGGCGGATCGCTTTACTGGGGGTAATAATTCCTTCAAATAAATAAAAATAATAATTTGGTCACTCAATCCATGACTGCTTGTGTGGGACGCTGCTGTGCACAATTGGCTGCCGCGTTTCACCCACAGAACATACGTTCACTTCACTTTACAGTACAACAACAAGATTACATTTGTATAGCGCCTTTCATGTCGTGAGGACGTCCCAAGGCGCTGTACATCTCACGGAGCATCTCGAAGACGTGATAAATGCCCTGCCTCAAATGCAAGGGCGATAATAATAATAATAATCCTTGCATTTGATATAGCGCTTTTCACGTCTTCTAGACGTCCCAAAGAGCTTCACAGAATGTACTGTAAAGCGAATTGACTGTCTATTTGTGGGCGAACGCGGCAGCCAATTGAGCACAGCAATGTCCCACAAACAGTCGTGGATTGAAAATGACCAATTTATTATTGTTTTGTTGTTTTGGAGGGATTATTATTAGGCTCTGTGTGGAGTAAGGAAACTTGCCCAAGGTTTCGCCCTGACCTGCCTGGAATTGAACTCAGGTCCTCTCGCTTGCAAAGCGAGCGCTCTAACCACCGAGCTCCAGGACTCCACGGCGGACGATGATTATTATGACAAGTAACGTAAAACACTGCTGGCTCCCCCCAACCGGAAACCCCCGACGGCCGGGATACTTCCATCGCAGGAAGAGAGAAAGGCAGACCGGACCCGCTTGAACCGTGAGCCGAGGCTTAACCGCACTCAAGTGTTGGCGCGGCTGTCCCTCGGCACAGGAGTCTCTCAGGATCAGACAGCACAGAAGGAGGCCATCCTAATAATAATAATCCCTCCAAAATAATAATAATAATAATAATAATCCTTGCATTTGATATAGCGCTTTTCACGTCGGGAGGACGTCCCAAAGCGCTTCACAGAACACACTGTAAAGTGAATTGACTGTATATTTGTGGGCGAACGCGGCAGCCAATTGCGCACAGCAATGTCCCACAAACAGTCGTAGATTGAAAATGACCAATTTATTATTGTTTTGGAGGGATTATTATTAGGCTCTGTGTGGAGTAAGGAAACTTGCCCAAGGTTTCGCCCTCTGCCTGGAATTGAACTCAGGTCTCTCACTTGCAAAGCGAGTGCTCTAACCACTGAAGCTACAGGACTCCACACAAAACCCAAAACAATAATAAATTGGTCATTTTCAATCTTCGACTGTTTGTGGGACATTGCTGTGCGCAATTGGCTGCCGCGTTCGCCCACAAATATACAGTCAATTCACTTTACAGTGTGTTCTGTGAAGCGCTTTGGGACGTCCTCCCGACGTGAGAAGCGCTATATCAAATGCGAGGATTATTATTATTATTATTATTATTACACGGCCCATGGTGTCTGGTGGGTGTTTGAAAAGAGCTGCCAACTGATCCCACTCCCCCATCTTTCCCCACCCCCACCCCACCCCCACACAGCCCCGCAAACCTGCTGCGTGTGAGAGACACACCTCCCCCCACCCACCCCCACTCCAAACACACACGATTCTCTAATGCTTTTAGTTTGAATTTCCTCTCATTCCTACGCCCCTGACCCTCTGATGCCGCCCGCGCGGGCTCTCAGCTCTCTCGTTCAAACGGTTCGGATTCAAACCGCCGCCACTAAAAAAGAAAAAAGCGACGCCGTCAATCAATCGTCGAAAATGAGAGCACAGAAGTACAGCATTGTTCCAGGTCGGTGGTAAAAGGGGACGGTTTACAGATCGGTGCAATTGAGACTGAGATTTCCAGATCAGTAAGCAATGGTGAGAAGCAACACAAGAAGAAAAAGCATCGTGTGAGAGACAGTAGCAGCTGCACTGAAAACAATGATGCTGCCGTGAATATTCCCATCGAGGTAAAGCAAGAGATGTCATTTTCCGAGGTACTCAAAGATGCGAAAAGAGAAGAAGAAGAAAAAGAAGGAGAAGAAGAGAAAGAAAAAGGAGAAGCATTTCAGACAAGGGGATGACTCTTTGTTACTGACCAATGCAGAGAGGAGTGATAACCCCGAGTCCTCTGAAGTAGGTGGAGAAATTCCAATAATTAAACGCAAGAAAAAACGGAAAAAACAAATGGACGGAGCTGCAACTCCTCAAGCCAAGGATGACGGTTCTGAAGTACTGCAAATATCTCCCAAGAAACGTCGAAGACATGAACAATTGGAGTTGAAAACTACTGTGGAAGAAAATTGGCAGGATGAGAGTGCAAACTGTGCAGAAACTCCCAGGAAAACTTCAAAAAAACACCGAAAAAAGCACAAACTAACTGAAGAAAAGAATGAGATCGAGGACACTCCACAATTAAGTAGCACAGCTTGCCAAGAAACTCTAGAGAGTCCTACAAAGAAGCACAAGAAAAAGAGAAAGGCAATCAAACTCCGGGAGTCTGGTGAAGACAAGGACTCGCAAGAGACTGATACTGTGCAATGTTCCCCCATCAAGAGCAAGCCGGTCACTACACCTGAGGATAACATCCACACCAAAGAGGGTTTGCCAGATTCAAATCATCATCAGAAGAAGAAGAAGAAGAAAAAGAAAAAGAAGAAGCACAAAGAATCTGTTGGAGAGAAAAGTATTACTTATGAGCAAACACTTGCAGAAATTGATCCAGACTTGACAGAGCTTAAAATGGAGCAGAGCATAAAGGCTATGGTTGAACAGCTAAGGGAGTTTATGCCCAGTGTGAGAACGATGTCAAATGATACAATACGCTCCATGTTTAGGTATGACCTACCACGATTTAAAACATTGAAGGAGGAAGGTAAGACTAATAATCATCCTTGCATTTGATATAGCGCCTTATCACGTCTTCAAGACGTCTCAAAGCGCTTCTCAAAATATACTGTAAAGTGAATTGACTGTATATCTTGTGGTCGAGGATTATTGCAAGTTCCTGTGTTGTGCACTTTTAATTGGAATTGAAGCTTTTTGAAAATCTGTAATATTTCATTGGCACACTTGTTGCCATCATCGTTTGTGGGAACAGATCAGCATCTTATACAGATTGCATTGTGTTATAAAGCAAATACTGGAAAATCTGCTTTTTTTAGTGTCGATTTTGCTGAATCTGACGCTTGAGCTACTAAACTGCTTAATAGACCAAAGATCTTGATTTTCCAGTATTTGCTTTATAACATGAATCAGACTCAGAATTAAGTCTGAGACTGAAACCAGAGTTTCTGAGCTCATTGATAAGGAAAGAGTGAATCTTGCAGTTCAAAAAAACTTTCTCGCTGCCTCCTTCAAGCTACCCTGACCTTTACAAAAGCTTGCTACTTGGGGCAGAATTTAAACCATTTTTATTAAAAAAAGGATGTCATTGACGTCAATATGCTGTTTCTTTCTAATACCTTTCCCATGCTTCCCATTTCCTGTCTTTTACATACACACATTCTAATCCTTGCTGTACTATTTTATTATACCATTCTCTGTAATATGAACTGAATGAATGTGCACATAACCTCTTATAGACGGGTGTAGCAAGCAAGCAGGGTTATTACATGTATAGACTACCATTGGTGTGCACAGAGCGGCTGTTGTGAAGGTCCTAAACCAGCTGTTTATTCCACATCGCATAGAAAATTGTCGTCATAAACCTGCAGTCAGACAACAGAAAATTTTTCGGCTGCGTAATATGATGACAGACATTAAAAATAATGAACACTATGGGATTTCCAAATGCCTGGTGGCGTTTGGAACCTGGCCTTGCCATTGCTTTTCTCTCTAGGATCCTGCTTTACTTTCCCTGTCTATCGATCTCAGAATAAGCATGGCATTCCCTTGGCTTGTATCATTGCATTAATAAATTCTCAATACCAACAACAGCTCACCTGTATTTTGCTTCTAGTGTCCAGAACTATTTTAAAACAGTAATTCTAACTTTCGCTGGAAATGTGAGGTGATTTCAAACCTGGCTTTTAGTTAGAGTTGCTTCTGCTCCTGTGCTGTCAGTGACACCAGGAGGAGTTAAATAGTATTACATTCTTAGTCATTTGTTAGGAGTAAAACGCACCCAAACAAAATTAGTAGCATTGTCCCTATATTATTTATATATATTTATTTATATATTTATATATTTATTTATATGCATACAGATATTTTAAATGTCTCAATAATTATAAGTAATACATATATAGATATTATAGGACCAATATAACCAATGATAAGAATATACTACCAGAAACGCGGTCAGTTGGTTGCAGGAGTTCTCCGTGGGTCCTCTGGTTATATTCACAAAACGGAGGCTACCCAAAGATGACTACCTTCTTAGTCTCCCTCTGGACTGACTTCTCTATCCTTTTTTCCTGTTTTTTTATAAGTCTTTTCCCCATTGTTCTTACCTTCCTGGTGAGTACCCCTACCTATCTTTATTTGGACTTTGACCTGTCGGATATCATAATTTTACATCTAGACACTCATGTGTCCATCCCAATAATGCTTCTGGTTCCTTACCCCGTTATTTTTATCCCAACTATTGTGCAGGTTCCTATTGTCCAAATTATTGATTACCGCCTTTTTGTCAGGACGCTCACCAGACTTTGAGGTCATGATGTCTCTTTCCGTCCTTTCTTTCCCACTCTAGCTATCTACAACCGCCTGACTGACTAATCCTTATGTTTACTTACTCTAGACTTTTTTAATTACTCCTAAATATCACATATGAGTTGTCAAAGTATTTTATTCTGTACTATAGAATAAAGGTCTATTAAATTTATGTTGTATCTCTAAAATATCTCTAAAATACCTCAAACACAGTCCAATATAGATTGAACATCCCCTCGACTATGCAAATGTAATTTGTTGTTGTTGTTATAGGTGACTTGGTTTTTGGACCCTTGAGTCTTCTCTTATTCCCTTCCCCCTATATAATTTGTTTCTCACTCCACTCTACATATCTTTGTAGGGATTCCTATCCGACAGGGAAGGTACACTAAAGAAGAGAATGAGCAGATACAGACAAACCTAAAGGAATTAATGTTGGTGACTGGAATTGAAAATGAGTGGGAATTTTTCCAACCTCCTGAATCGTTTGAGGATTTATTGAGAATAAAACGGCTGAAAATCAAACACTTATTCTGTGTCAAGCTTGGTACGTGATTTATATGTACTTATTAACATATTTTCCCTAATATTATTATTAGTTTGTTTTGATAATCTTTGAATTGTCTATTTCTTCATGTTAAAAAAAGCCATTGTTTTGCACATCAACTTCTCCTTTGAACCACAAGAACGTAACATCACTTAGTTTACCTACTTTGTGTCTTAGATTAAATCGGATCTCCCTGAAGACAAAGTTAAATGAATATTGTTTATGGAATCATTTATTATTAGCTTTTTTCCCCCAGCTGAGGGCATTGCAAGACCATGGAAAAGTGTTTACCAGCGAGCTAGGAAGTTGTACGATCCCCACCGATGTAAAGGCAGGTGAGTTTGACCTGGAATATTAGATTACTAATCATTTGAGTAGTTGAGTAAGGGCTATCCTTTGCAACTTCAAAAGACATAGAAGCAAAACCTGCATATGTTCCATGTGTCTGCTATGAGTAACCAATGTGTTTTATTATCAGGTACACAGAGGAAGAACTGAAGAAATTTAAACGCTTGATGGCTGTGCATGGAAATCACTGGCAAAAGATTGCCGGTGGTCTGGAGCGCAGTGATCTATCAGTGATGTGTCGAGCCAGAATAATGAAGGACTGTAGGTCTAAGTATTCAAATGAATTGTTTTTATTTTAGATTGCAATAAATGTGGATAGATTTCTGTAAGTTATTTAATGTTTTGAGAACTAGTCACGTTTTTATGCAAAGTGAATGGCTATCAAATTGTGTAGTTTATACACAGATCGACACGAAGAAATGACAAGAATTGAATGATACAACAATGCAGAGAAATGAAAACATTGCTATGTTTGGATTTTCTGTTGATCAATAACTTCAGTCAAAGCAAAACTTCATTGACTGTTTTTTTCTAATAGCCTTGAAGAATGGTCCGTGGAGCAAGCAGGAGGAGAGGAAATTCATGAAAATAATGAAGAAGGTCATTACTAAGCGAGTAGAAAAAGATAACTGTCTAGCGGTCAAGGCACCAACTAAGGACAAGCTTGGTTCAATCCTTCGGGAAAAGCTGTACAAGGGACTCCCTTGGTTAGAAATTTCAAACCTAATGGAGGAAAGACACTGGATACAATGCAGAAAAAAATGGTGAGCTTATCATGTGATCACAGGTGTAGTCTTCAACTGATTGTAAGCATTACATACAATAACAACATGCCAGTTGAATTTGAGAATTCCTGATCACTAAGTCCTTTATTAGGAGGGTAGACTGCTGAAGGAGGAGCATTGCTGAGCATACAGTGACATTGGACCTGTTCAACCTCTGAACATAACCATGCCTTTTGTCCACAAAATATACAGTCAGTTCACTTTACAGTATATTCTGTGAAGTGCTTTGAGATGTCTCAATGACGTAATAAGGCGCTATATCAAATGCAAGGAATATTATTATGTCCCATCGGAATATTTTTGGTAGGCTGCAGCTAATGCTGGGATGCAGAGCCACCCCCGGTTACAATGTCCACAGTTGTCGCACTGAGAGCTTTGGGCTGTTCATCCTGGACTATTAGTTGGAGTAGAAACCTCTCCACAGCCTCAGCCTGGGAACCGATTGAGAATATTTAACAATGACTGACAGTAGAGTCAAATTTCCTTCTATCTTCTCACTCCAGACTGCAATATCCCTGTCATTGTCCATCTGCATCATTAAATGATCCAGCTAAAATCAAGCTTTTGCCCTCCACCCCTCCTGACCCCAGCTTCCAGATCGGGTCCAAAACTCCCTGACTGTCAGCGCCCTGGGACGTCTTTCCAACGCGAAGGGAGCTATACAAGTGTAATTTGTTGTTGTTGTGATAACTTTCCACCATTTATTTTTTTTGCCCACACTTGTGAAATGTTTCAAACAAATAGTTCAATTTCTATGAAGGGAAATGCAAGGATTTTAACTTGTCTTTATACTATTCGGCAGGATGCAGATTTTGAGTATCAAAATGTCCAAAGGGTCGGTGTCTGGTCGAGGGCGAAAAACCTACCCGTGCAAGATCAACCTTATTAAAAGGTAAAGTTAAATTGAAATCTTTCTGAGAGGGAAAATGCAAACAGTTTTATAGTGAAGCATCCATCAATAGAACAGATTGTTGTCTAAGGGTGTATTTTTTTATTGCTGAATTAATATTGTACTCAACACAAACCTAGAACAAGAACTGCACCTGCCCTTTGTTGTGCTTTGAAAACAGCCTTGTAACCAGTAACAGTTGATAGCAATTGTGTTTTTCCCTCTAGACGTGAAAGGCGCTAAACAAATGTAATTTATTGTTGTTGTTGAACTTGGAGTTGTATTTTATAATTAGCCCAGAGTCTCAGACCTAAATATTTTGGAAAGGTTCAAGCCATGGGTTTGGAGGCGCAGGCCAGCACAACCGACATACATAATAGCTGTGGCCTTTCGCCATTCTAATGTGGTTGAATTGTTTCTAATTATGCCTCAATAAAAATGTTGCTAATATGTTTTATAGCACGACAGAAAGTAATTGCTGATTATCGGAAGATTCTTCCTAAGCTCTTCAGCAAGTTTCTTTATATCACTTCCTTCTCTCTCTAAATTAGAACTCTCTGTTGTATTTTGCAGGCTATATATGCTGAATGTGGACGATGATAGTGAAGTGGACTGGGAGCAGATGTGTGATGCTGTTGGGTAAGAAAAAATCATCCTCTTCACGGGACAAAATAATAATAATCCTTGCATTTGATATAGAGCTTTATCATGTCATTGAGACGTCTCAAAGCACTTCCCAGAATATATTGTAAAGTGGATTGAATGTGTATTTTGTGGGCGAAACGCAGCAGCAAATTGCGCACAGCAGTGTCCCATAAATAGTTGTAGATTGAGTGACCACATTATTTTTTTGAGAGATTATTACCCCTGGAAAGCGATCCGCCAATCGATTGACAACTGGATGTAACTGCAGCTGTAAGACAAGAGCCAGCAGTGGCATATACAATTAGCATGACACCTGCACGCTAGTAAACGCTTAACAAGATCTCTCACTCCTGATCAAATGCAGCGCACCTGTCCCCAGCCCATAGGAAGTGGATTTATTTTAATATAAATGTGTCTTCATGACTTACAACATGTTTTATTCAATATTATTTCCTAGCAACGTGCCTCCTCAATTCGTTCAAACGATGTTCTACAAGTTGAAAGCTCGCCACGTACCCTCTTGGCACAGGAAAACCTTTGGAGGTTAGTATTGTAGCTCGCAGAGTATGAACCATGATGGACGAGTTATACTGCAAGGGACAGGCGTTAGAGTAGTTCCTGAAAGAAAATCAGCACAGTAACTGCATTTCACTTCCATGGCAGGTAACAGTTATATCAAGACAGCAGCTAGCCTTACCATTGCGTGCTGTAGACACACAAGCGGGTAAAGGCTGCAGTCAGTAATGGCACAGAACTAGAATTTAACACATGGCATGAATTAAAAACCATGGAAGATGGAGATTTTACACGTGTTAAAGTGTAGAGTGGTGAAAATAGATGCACTGGCAATGTGACCATCTATAATCTTTATTCACGTCCTTGCTTTTGTACTGCCTAAATGTTAATTAATTGGATTTAGTGTTTTGCTGAATGATAAAAAGATTAAAAATGTGTTGGTTGAAAGCCTATCTCAATTTATTGTGAACTTTATTCTCTTTCACAGAAATTGTGGACTTCCTTAATGATAAAATACGTCCAAAGTATGAAGAGAAGTTGAAAAAAAAAGCTACAGATTCTAGTGATTGCAGCACAGAGGCTGCTGTTCATAAGCCACTGAAACGTGTATTTCAGTTAAGTGACATTTTTAACAGTGATAATGATGACAGTGATTTGGAAGATGAGGAAGATGAGGAAGATGAGGACCACAAAGCACACCCAGCAGCAAGTAAGAAACGGTGTAAAAAATCATCACGGCCTCCGGCAGCTAGAAAACGGAACTGAAAACGTCTTCTGTGCAAGAGCTCTGTAATGTCCTTTAAAATTGGGGTTTGTCACTGCCTGTACTTGCAATAGCAATGCCCTGTTGTAGCAGATATACTGGTCCTTCCAAGTAACTACTGTTGCTCGAGTCACCTGCAATGTCTTGTTGAGGTTTTGACAATCTTTGGCATGGTGGTTGCTTTGTTGGATTGCCTTTTAAGAACTTGCGATGTAACTGGCACTTGAACTGAAAAGTCATAACTGTTCGGTGTACACACGCAAGGTGGATCTTTTCATAGTAAAGTACAAAACCCTCCAGGAATGAATCCAGGAGCCAAGTCAGACTGGCAAATCAAAGCTGTTGTCATTTTTTGAGACAAAGTAGGATCTCCCACCATCAATTGGCAGAAGTTAAAATACAGTTTTCTCCACTATGCACATTGATTATGTAATCCCTAAATGAGGGGACCCTATCTGGCAGAGTGTTATAGTCTTTCCTTTATGTACGAGAATATTGCAGATTTTTGTTTAGGAAAAATAACTTTAATACTGGTTCCTGTATATAGAGAAATGATTTTTGAGAAAGAAGATGCAGAAAAAAATATTTTTAAATGAAATGCCACTGTTACTTATTGGTACTTTATTAAAAAAAGTTTGAATGCAGACATGGGTCAGCTGACATTTCTGTTTTAAAATTGTGCTTTTTGCAATAAAAGACTCTCGCTTCAATGACAGCTCAAAGGGACGTAAACAATCCGCCACTTCATGCCATTAGAGCAGAGAGCCCAGCAGCGTGAGGAGGTAACAGAGTGGGAGTTCTGTGCAGGAATTTGGTGAGAGTGGGAATTCTTGAGCAAGAGAGAAATTAGAAACTATAGAATAAGACAGAACCCTTTCAGCAAAAGAGTAGGAATTCTATCTTGAGGAAGAGAGAACTTTTCGAGTTAACAGATAAACAAATCAAAGTGGCACTTGGTCACAGACCAGGTGTTGTGGGTTAATTAATATGCTGACCATTTGAAACTGGGTGTGTGAGTCCTATACAAAGGGGGAAAACTTGCGAGAGCCCAGCAGTATGAGGCGGCAACTGAGTGAGGTGGAATTCTGTGCAGGAATTTGCTGAGAGTGGGAATTAGATGCCGATGAGGAAGAGGTGCATAACTATTAAATAAATAATATTAAAAACGTCTGGGAATATGGCAGGGCAGCTAAAACACATTGCATGTTTTGTACCGTGGAGGAACTCCAGGACACTTTGTGTTACTTTGTCCTGGACAAACACGTGTGTAGGAAGTGCCTCCAGCTGCTCAAGCTCAGGGTTTTCTGAGCTCGAAGAGAGGCTGGTGTTACTGCACAACATACGTGAGGCTGAAGAGTTCATGGAGTCGGTATTAGCACCGCTGCTCTTTTTGTTCGATATAAACGATCTGGACTTGGATATAGGGAGTACAACTTCCAAGTTTGCAGATGATACAAAGCTAGGAAAGTAGTAAACGGTGAGGATCGTAGCTGACTGCAAAAGGACAGACTGGTGAAATGGGCAGACGCATAGTAGGTTAAATGCAAAGTGATGCATTTTGAGAAGAAGAATGAGGAGAGGTAATATAAGATAGATGGTACAATCTTAAAGGGGTGCAGGAATAGAGAGCCAGGGGTCCACATAAGCCAATCTTTGAAGGTGGCAGGGCAAGTAGATAAAGGTGTTTTTTTTTAAAAAGCATATGGGATACTTGGCTTTATATCAGAGGCATAGAATTGTTGGGATTTCCGAGCCCGAAGTTCGAATAATGCCCCGACAATCCATAAAGGTGTAATAGAGTTTTTATCAATCAAAGTAACGAATACAAAACAAGTAAAATACTAATGCCGCTACAAGTAATCAAATGTATACGACCGGTTTCGGAGCAGTCAGTTGCAAGAACTTCGATGCGTCTTCTATCCACTGAAATTGCTGCTTTACTTGCCTAAAGTTAGGATAGTTATACTATTTGCTCCACGTATCCTCCCCTTAGTTCCCCCAATTGGGGGTTGGCCACTTACTCCTTCCTTGTGTTAGTTTCTTATCTTCTTTGCAGCCAACCGGGAGTCCCCGAGTAAAAGCAGCCTATTCATTATTTCTCAGCACCAGCTTGTTTTTCCTTTTCAGGGTCGGTGCCTATCCCTGACTGGTGAAAACAATTAGATAGATTGACATATGTTTACAGAAAGCTGGGTTGCTTTACTTAGGTATGTTTAAATGAATGCGGTTTTCTATGTTACCAGCGCATTGCAGTCTTCTTGTATTGAGGAATCTAAAAAGTTTAACTGGTTCTATTCGTGACAGTCCGTTATCCCGACATGAAAACAAATGTAATTTTGTTGTTGTTGTTGTTGTTGCTCCTTCCATTGCAACTGACTGACCGTTAACCTTTAGAGCTCAGCTTATCAAACAGATTCCTAATATTTTAGTCCTGGTCAAAATTAACAGTTTCTAGCAGTTTCTAACAGTTTCTATTTTACCTTGGTGCTTCAGTCTTATTGTTACATACATGTTGAATATAGATGTGTGTGTATATATATAGTTTCCTTTAGTACAACCTTCTATAGTATTATTTCGATATCAATCTTTTCTAACAGAATACAAAAGTAAAGAGGTTTATAAAACACTGGTTAGGCTTCAGTTGGAGTACTGTGTTCAGTTCTCGGCACCACACTTTAGGAAGTATGTCAAGCCTTGGAGAGGGTACGAAGGAGATTTACCAGGAGGGTACCAGGAATGAGGACTTCAGTTATGAGGAGAGGCGAGAGAAACTAGGATTATTTCCTTGGAGCAGGTAAGGTTAAGGTAGATTGTTTGTATCTGGAATGCATTGCCTGAAAGGGTGGTGGAAGCCGATTCGATAACAACTTTCAAGAGATATTTGGGGAGGACAAATTTGCATAGCTATGGGGAGAGCGTGGGGGAGTGGGATTAATCTGGACAGCTCTTTCAAAGAGCCGGCATGGATCCGGTGGGTCGAATGGCCTCCTTTGGTGTTGTAAAAATTCTATGATTCTATGTGTTTAACACCGTAGTGTCTTCTGTGTGGCTCGTACAGCAGCAAGAAAGACCGGGGAAGGTTACAGGAGGCCAGGGCGCCGGGGACTAGTTTAAAAAATAGAGTAAAACTCGCACGAGTCTGATCTACATAAGTCGTATCATCGCCTAAGCCGTACATCTGCGCAAGTCCCGTTCAAGAGTTTATATGCTACGCAAGTTTGAACGTAACTCGTACTTTGCGTAAGTCACGTTAAATGTATTTTTTCCCCAACTGATACGGGAGTTTTACTGTCGCTCGAATGCTGCGACCCGGTAGGGTAGGGTAGGTTTTCTGGAAGGGGCGAGACCGGGGGGGTTTGGGGGCGTTGCAGGCCGGTCTTGCGGACATCGCGAACTGACCGATAGCCCTTCGTGCCCTGCAAGCGGGTCAGGGGGCTCTTAATAACAATAATAACAATAATAATAATAATAATAATAATTCTTGCGTGTAGGGCATGTTTGTGTGTGTGTGTGTGTGTGAGTGGGCGGGGGCAACTGTAGGGGGCGGGGCAACTGTAGGGGGCGGGGCGGGTGACCTCATTTCCGGCCGGGAGCTGAGCCGCGCAGTGCGGCGGGAGCTGCCGAGGCCGAGCCCGAGGCCCACTCGCGCCGCCGGGGACTCGGCCGGGACCCGGGCCCGGATCCGGTACGTCAGTTCGCGGCCCTGAAGCCGCGGCCGGAGCGCCGCTTTTCGTCGCTGACCGAGGCTCGCGGCGACAAGACGGGAGAGAGCGCCGCCGGGGCTCGAGGGTGTTGTGGCGCGAGGGGAGGAGGAGGAGGAGGAGGAGGGGTACATGTACCCGGGGTGGGGGGTGCACCTGCCTGGGAGAGGTGTCCGTGTGTGTCTGGGTGGCTGTGTATACAGGTGTATGTGTACAGATGTGTGTGTACGTGGATGTGTGTGCTGTGTGTGGGTGTGTATATATATATACACACACACGTGTTTGTGTCTGTGTATATATGTGTGTGCGCGCGCTGGAGGTAGTGCTGTGTGTGTGTACGCACGCATGGGGGTGCTGTGTGCATGCGTGTGTGCATGCGCGTGTGCATGCGCGTGTGTCCGGGGGATGGAGTACTGGGGCTGGTAGCACACGACCACGGCGGCCCGTTCAGCCCAACCAAGTTGTTTGGCTGGAAAATTCAGTCACTACACTTTACAGTATCTCCTGTGAAGCACTGCGAGACATTCCCCTGATGTGAAAGGTGATGTGTCAAATGCAAGGATTATTATTATTATTATTATTATCGACGAGTTTGCGGTGAGGCGCGCCAATCCCCACTCTGTGGCTAAATCTGTTGATGCTACTGCAGAAAGGTGGATGTGTGCAGCAACAAATGATATTTGTACAGCACAATACAAATGTCATGTGTTGTTGTTGCATATGCCATTCCAGTTTGACTGCAAAATAATTAACATCGCATGGGTTGGTTATTTTTTGTTTAACTAGCTTGCATGCCAATGTCTGTACGACACACAAGCCTTCGCCTTTCCCAATTACCTTGTTATTTCCTTCTCCCTAATGGATGAATCAAGTTTACTCCTAATTGCTTTTGCTTCACTTTTTAAATGGCATAAACAGGATGCCTTTTAAGTGGACCGGGTAAAGGTGCCAGACTACAGATGGAAACAAAAAGAAACACTTTTTGTTGCAGTCTTTCAGTGGGCTTTTAGAATACTGAAAGATGTGTGTTTTGCATCTCATACTTTCTGTAAAACAGTCAGTCAAATTATAACGCAGGAGCTGAGACTATTTGGCCCATCAAGCCTATTTTTAAAAAAAACAGTTGATAGAGCTCTCTTGCGTATTATTAAATGACTCGAAGCACATCATAGGATTTCCTGTCGAGCGTACTGACACACAGCAGTGTCCCACAAACAGCTGTGAAGTGAGCAATTATTTTTTCTGGTGGATTGTTGGATAGGACACTGAGAGAAGCTCCATTCTGTTTTGAGAAGTGCTCCGGGATCGTTTAACGACCACCTGAACTGTCACAGGCGGAAGGTAATTAGCAATCTGTCTTGTAATCAAAAAGGGAGCACATTGCTTCTTTTTTTGTGGAATCTTTAATATTTACATGTATCAGCAGATCAGGCAGATGGCACATGGTTAGCAAGAGTTAAAGCATGGCACCTCCACTAATGAATGCAGTGTTTCCAAGTACTGCACTGTAGTCTGGGCTGTGAGCTCAAGGCCAGGATTATGAGCTCAAGCCCTGGATTGTGAGCTCAAGGTATTTTGAGGGGTTTGAACCCACTACCTGGTGATACAAACATTTATTAAAACCTCAAGGAAAAGTCCTGAGTGTGAGAACCACATGGATTGTGTGAAGCAGTGATTATGTTGAGGATTGAGTTTGGTCGTGTGCAGTGGCCACAGTTGTACAGGAGCTAAAGAATACAGTCGAATCACTCCAGTGATGGCAAGTCTACACGGGTATTTATAACTGTGTTCTGTCTAAAGGGAACCTATGTAAATTTGCTTTGCTTCAGAATGCCTGGAGAAAGATTGTTAGATGTTGGTGTCCTTACTGTATTAGACAAGCCAATTTGACTTGTGGGTGCTTTGTTTCTGTTTATTCCGGGTTTTATTAATATGAGGGAGAGACAAATTAACAAAAACTCAATAGATCCGGTTCAGTTTGCTTCAGTGAGTTTGTCATTGCATTGAATTAAATTAATTTGACTCCCTCACGCAGTCTACCTTTTCAGACTTACAGGAGGAGTGGTTGCACTGTGGAGATAGGATTGTTTACAGTGAGGTAGAGGTGCTCAAAGGCAGACTGTCTGAGAGCAGCAGGAAAGAGGACGGAAATGTGGGAAACGATACTGAAAGTTTAATAAAATAGTTTCACTTTCATATACTCTGGTAAGCGTCACATACAATGGCACAGTGCAAGTGATCCCAGATTTGTGTGTGCACCAAAACAACTTGTCTGGATGGAACAGGCTTCCTAAGGAGATGGTGGAAGCAGAAAGTGTTTGTTTCAAGAACAAATCACATAGATTTCTGCTAGAAACTAATATCTCGGGATACAGTATATAATTTGGGACACGACATGTCAAGTGACTGCCAGGATAGTGGAAGGGGAACTAGATGGAACTTGCTCTTCTTTCACCTGGCAAGTTCTTATGGATCTGAACCATGTATCTGTGTCTTTATCACATCCAGGCTCGACTACGCAAACTCCCTTGTGTCGGCCTCCCCGACTCCTCCCTCCACAGGCTGCAGATCATTTAGAACTCTGCAGCTTGTGTCCGCTCCCACACCAGGCTCCGCAACCCAATCACCCCCATCCTCGCCTGGATCCACTGGCTCCCCATCACTCAGAGGATACAGTTCAAGATCCTCTCCTGGTCCTCACCTTCAAAGCCCTCCATGGCCTTGCTCCTGCCTCTGTGACCTCTTAACCACCTACCAACCTGTCCACTCCCTCCACTCAGTGGGCTCCAGCCTACTTCACTTCCCCTGTATTGCCCACCCATCATTGGCTGGCGGCCCTTCAGCCACTCTGCCCGCACTCTGTGGAACTCCAGCCAAAGTCCCTCCGCCTTGCCTTGCCTCCTTCAAGACCCTCCTCTTCGACTGTGCCTTTGGTCACCCTCCTACCCTACACCCTTCCTGATCCAACCACCAGTTCAGGTGTGGATCCCTAACTGTCCAGCGTCTTGGGATGTCATCCTGACATGAAAGGCACCATACAAATGTAATTTGTTGTTCTGTCTCTGCTGTTTTTCCAGACGTACCCTCAGGTGATCTAAAGATCCAGCACACTGATTACTGGAAGTCTTTGATTAGTTCAGAATAATTAAGGGAAGTGCACCTGGTACAGAGACAGGGAGCAAAGGACTAACCCATGAAGTGGGTTCTGTGCCTATGAAAGAGATGGAGAGTGCTACACATTTAGTAATGTACACATCTGTTTGTCTGAATGCTTTGTGTATTGCGGCTGAAATCCCTATGGGTGTCGCCAGTGGGGATGTGACTATTAGAAAGTTAGTGTTGGGTATTTATGCAGTGAGCCAACAGTTCAGTCGCACACTGTCTGCTGAGCGTTTGGCTGAGTTGTGTTTCTCCTGTTACAGAGGGTAAGATGAGCACGTGCCGTTGGTGCACCCCAAGAGGCCAGACAACCGTCCAGTTTTTACTCCAGTATTGTTCGGGTGAGCTCTCCTCACAAGAAGTGAAAGCAGCCAATGAAGATCTCTGCTACTGCTTGGAGTGTGTGGTGGAATATCATCAAGCACGCGATGAAGTCCATGCAAAACACAAGGTGATGTACAGACCCAAGGGTGGGAGATAAAGGTGTACTGCTCAACTGTGTTGTGTGACTCATGCCTTCATTTCAGTCCTGGCAAATGTCTGGAACAAGATCCTAGGGATGTGGTGGAAGCAGAAAGTATTGATTCTTTCAAAAGCAAATTCAATCGATTTCTTTTAAGAAATAATTTCGCAAGATACACTATATAATTTGGACATGAACTGTGCAAGCGACTGCCAAAGTGACTGTCAGGATGGTGGTCCTGAAGGTGAACTGAATGGCCCTTGATCTTCTTTCGTCTAGCAATTCTTGCATTCCAATGGTAACTCCGTAATGACTGGAGAACCTTTAGCCTCAACTTCTTTGGGTTGAGGAGGTGGGTAGGGAGGCATGTTAAAGGCTCCTGATTGTTGGAAAATGGTAATTTGTGGACCTTAGGTTTGGACAGGATTGGGCTTGCTGTGATTTTTTTCTTCCTCTTTCACTCACACTCTCTCTCTTTCCCCCACTCCACTCCCCCAAATGATCGTACATCCTTCTGGGCAGTGCACCATCCCTTGCCATGAGAGCAATCAGCTTCCCACAAATGAGCAGTCAGTTGTCTCCAGCGTGGTAACCCCTGTTTGCTACCCCTTTTGTCTAATTGCAGAATGTAACCACTTACGATATTTTTAAAGTCACGGAGGGTAAATTTGGTGAGTTGCTGATGTCTGGTGATTGACTCCTACAGGCTCTGTGCAAACTGGAGACCAAGCGTTTGATTGACCATTTTGAAAATGCTTTAAAGGCCGAACTGGAGGATGACGAGTTGTTTTTGATTGAAAACGAGCAAGAGATTCAGCTCTGTGGCTACACGGGGCCCGACTTAGAGAACAACCTGCGGGTCCCCATCCTGGAGATTCTCAAGTACCCATACCTGCTGTTGGACGAAGGCCTCAGTGAGTAACCCTGACCTTGTGCATTACTCTGGGGCCTACCATGCTACACATTACAACCGTTCTCACCCGTGTTGTTACACGCAAATTTTGTTAACACAAAGAGTACTAGGTGGCCTTTGTTTCAGTTCAGACATCACTCCACACTGTTCCTCATCACTGGGCAGATTCATCACACTGACTAAAGTGCAGTCACCTCTGCAACCTTGGCTCAGCACAGAGTGTAGGCGCTCCGGGACTCTACCCTGCGTAATGGGTAATATAGATATAAATGCAAGTTGTTGCAAATGTAACACCAAACATACACGGCGTTGCGAGTTTTTGTTCGTTCTTGTCCCGGGTTGGAACAGCTTTGCGACCGCATTTTGCAATAGCGTGACTGTTTTTTTGGGACACTCGTTCGAGACTAGTTTCTCCTTGAACATTGGAATAAATCGGTTATTGAGCAGAGACGACACAGACAATTTGTCACTACAGGCTGACTTTCCCGTGCTCAGTCTCCCACTGAACCCATTATTTGACCTATCTAAACTAAAAATATCTGGGTGTTTTTCCAGAGACCACCACCCAAGTGCGGATCAGTTGCGACTCACAATAGTAATTTGAGTTTTTCACAAATTGCCTTTTTTTGTTTAAGACTTTGTTGTATTCTGAAACAGCCAAAACCTCCCTTCTGGTACCCTCTCCAGCTATAATCACACCGTATAATACTCAAATAGCCTTTGTTGTTTCAGGTCAACTATGCATTGAGGCTCTTACAAAAATGGAGAAGGTGAATTTCTCCTTCCAGGCATTTGATAAACATCCTGGGATCTACCTACTGCTGGTGCATCCTAATGAAACGGTGAGTCATCTTAATTTGAATGTAATCAGATCGCACTTGAAGACATTCCTCTTCTACGGCCACCTCCCCTTTCTCCCCAGTTCGGTGTCAAACAATGCCTTTGTTAAGAGCTCCGAGAGGCTGCGCTATCCTGCGTGAATGGCACTGTATATTACAAGTTGTTGTGCGAGAGGCTTAATGTGTCTCGTGTAATGGTAAGGGTGTGAGTGGTATCTCCATTGCTTGCCAGAATGGTGGAGTGGTGGATGAAATCAGTCCGCGAGCCACCAATTGCAGAACCCTGGTATAACTCATTGCAGCTGAGCTGGATGTTCTCACTTGAGGATGTTCTACAGGTTGTTTCCAGCAGAAATCCTGGATAATGATCAGCAGTGGAAATCATGAATGTCCCCCTCACTCTTCCCCCCACTCTCCCACCCCACTCCTGAACCCCAGGAGGCAGAGAAATTGCAGAGCCCTGATTTGCTAATCTGAGATCTGCTAATTTGGCCTCGGTATACAGTATTACCTTTGACTTTCTAGGTCTGTAATGCTGCGTCACCTCCCCCAGGCTCGGAATCGTGCTCCGCCATCATCATTTTAAGAGGGCTTCACCTGAAGAAGCCCCTTTGACCCATTTGATTTCATCTTTCCAGAACACTCAGCCTACCATCTTCCCAGTGCAGCATCAAGCTGATTCTTCATGTTTTCAGTGTCCTGGCCTCAACCACCCTTCCAAGTAACCCGTTCAAGTCCTTAGCTTTGTGAAGCAAGACTTCCTGATGTCTGTCCTGTGACAGTTCTCACCACTTTTGTGCACCCGCGATGTATATCTCGCCCACTCTCGCAGAGTGTGCCACGTGGTCTCTGTGTTCGATCCCTCTCTATGAGTGCAAGTCCCTAATTTAAGGTGTACTTCACTAGTGAGTTACCACAACAACAGGTACTAACAATTGCCATTTGCATTGGGAAGCTTCTGTTAGCAGTCTCGCACTGGCAGACTATGACGTAGGCTCAACCTGTTTATGTGTCAATCTTTCAGATTGATTAGGCTGGAGAAAACACGGTCAAGAAAAGTCAACAGAATTTTTATTGCTGTTCCATGAAACACACAACCCAAAGCATTAGCATTAAACACTTGCCGACAAATCGGATAAATACGACACCAAGAAATAATAAACACTAAAGTCACACTTTAACTAAACACCAGCTCGCAGCCACTCAGCACCAGCAAAAACAATTGCTGACCAAGAGGACTACTCAGTATCAGTCAGGCATGTACTTCTTGATGTCATCGGGTAAACAGCAACCAGGAGACTAGCAGGCTCACTCTTTTTAAGGGCAATTATCCCATTCTAGTTGCTAGGGATCATCCAATCGTGTTTTTCCCTGTTTAATGATACATTTTACAACCAGCCTCTTTTTCCGCCAAAACAACATTGCATCTCTGTGACCCTGCACACCGAATACTCACAATCCTGTTTTCCTGCCCAATTGGTTACCATTGCAGAGTTGATGTCACCAATGGCGCATTTATCTTTAAATAAAATAAGCTCCACAGATCTTAAAATGTTCTTAAAGCAATACCACTTACATAACATTAATGCACATGCGTGAGCTTTCATACAGCACAGACATCAAGATTGCCACAGCTCACAGGCTTTACTGCAGCTTTTCAACCAACACATGCAAAAGGCACAACAGCATAAAAGAAAGCAGGTAAATGAACTCAAATAATAGGGTGTCCATAACAGTCCTGAAATTACCCTTCAAAATCCTCAATCTGTTGCCTTGGCGTAGGTGAAAGTAACTAGCATCTTATAAACCACAAATAAAGGTCTTCTCTGAGCTGTCTCGTAAGTTTGAAGAGCTCTCATCTTAAATCATTTGTTTCTCACAGCTTGTGCATCCTTATCAGTGTCTATCTGTGTCTAGGTTAGGAAATGGGCGATCCTGACTGCCAGGTCTCTGGGGAAGGTGGAGCGAGATGATTTCTATGACCTACAGGAAGTGATCACCTGCCTACTCAGGGTCATTGAGCTGGATCTCTTTGAGAATTCTGATATCTACAACTCTGTTGACACAGAAACTACCTTGATTCTCCTGCCACCCCATCTATATGACATAACCAACCACAAGAACTACTGGCTTGGTGAGTTTTATGCCAAGAACATTACATTTTTGTCAACTTTTAAGCCTTCGCAAAACAAATTGTGTGAGGGCAATGGAGCTTGTTTGTGGGGAAGGTTGTGGGGGGAATTTACTCTTCCACTCACTGCACTCATTCTTTACCACTCAAGTGGAACCTGAGCATGTCTACAGATTGGAAAAATATCTGCACATGTGTCTGTAGCCATTTAGATTGTCCAAGCCTTCTGTCAAGCCTTGAGTTCATAGCCCAGGCTGGCGCTTCAGTGCAGAACTGGAGGGCGCTGTTCCGTCGCTGTTGCCATCATTTGGTTGAGGCTATTTCCTATTAATATTAAATATTATTCTTTGTTTACATAGCTGTAAGTAGGAACCCGGTTGTTAGTCGATTAGCAGAGCTTTCTAGGGGGTAATAATCCCTTCAACAAAAAAAATTGGGGCTCAATCCATGACGTTTTGCCCAGAAAATGCACAGTGGCTCCACTTTACAATATATTCTGTGAAGTGCTTTGTGACGACTCAACGGAAGTGATAAGGTGCTATACCAAATGCAAGGATTATTATTAAAGCAAGTTTGCATTTAGTCTTTGGGAATAATGAAAGCGTTCCGTGTAGGTATCTGCATGCTGTTTATGGTGCTGGATGAGCAAGCGATGGACTCGCTGCTCCTTGCCCAAGACAAGCAGAACGACTTTATGAACTCCATCCTGAACACCATGAAGAAAAGCGAAGAGGGTAAGTTTCTATGTGGGGTAGAAAGATATCCCTGTGCACGCTTATCACAGTGTAATACGGGGGAACCCCATTGTAACGTCGTAACCTGGGACAGTATCTCGGAGGCTGTTGTTAAACAAAATATAGAAAAATAGCCAACTTCTGAGTGATCATCGTGCGTGGGATGTTGCTATTGTCCAGAAAACTAGGTACTGGGCAGCAGTCATTGCCTATGAAATTTGACTTTCTTTACCCGTATGCAAATAAGTATGCAAATAACATCAAACAGAAATCGACTGAAGATGCCTCTGACAGAAACAGGTGTCTCTTCTGGCTGAGAGAAAGCAGAGGGTTTGTGACAAAAATATTTCCTGCGGTCATCATCATACTGTTGCTTTCAACTTACGCAATGTGTTTTGCTGTAGTGCATGTGATTGAAAGCTGATTTTTTTTTTGCTCAGTCGCAAGCATTCATTGTTGGTGTTTCTTTCTAAATAATCTGCTCGTTTTGAACTGATCATCGTGCTTTCAGCCACTATACCCCAAAGCTTTGGAACTCTCTCCCCCAATCCCTCCGCCTTGCCCACTCGTCCCCCTTTTTTTAGATCACGACTGAAGACCGTGCTTATGGTCACCTCCTCCCTCCCCTCGGCTCCGTCACTGTTAAGCTCTGCTCCGAAATACTGCGCTGCATTAAGGGCGCTGTATATAAATGCAAGTTGTTGACCTTACATATTACTTGACTTATAGACGACACTTCTGATCCATTCTGGCCGGCCTTGCAGTGCTTCATGGTAATCCTCGATCGACTTGGATCAAAGGTGTGGGGTCAACTCATTGACCCAATGGAGGCATTCCAGACCATTACCGGCAGCCATAGCTACAACAAGGAGATCGAAAACATTCGTAACAATGTGAGGTGAGTGACTTTGAACCAAGAGGTTCACCCAGAACAGAATATGCCAGTGCAGAACAGTGAGATGCCTCCCTTGGCTGAGAGAAAACAAAATTACCTGTACCTGCCAATATTTTTTCAGACTTATAATGTAACTTTTAGCTTTTCACTCGCCTTGTCTGCAAATCCAGGTCATCGATGTATACAACGCTAAACGTTGGCATTGTACATATATCTTTAATGTAGAAAACATAGAACCAGGAATAAGGGTTACCCGCCTTTGTCCCATATCCCTTAATACCCTGACCTAACAAATATCTATCTGTCCTGTTTAACATTTGTTTATTCTACGTATTTTTCAACAGTAGCAAAAGAATAAAGAGCGATTTGGATGATGGTGATGGTGATTATGATGACAACTTGGTTTCGTGCAGCCAGATTGTTTATGACTACAATACCAAAAGGCAAAACAAGGTACCTATGTAAGAAATCCCATGGCACAATTCGAAAAGGGAAGAGAGCTTCTCTCTCACAGTGTCCTGACCAACAATCCCTCAAATAAATTGGCAGATAGCACAAAAAGCCCCGGGCGGGCAGCTATGATAACGGAGGCGTTGGAGAAGCGGACTGGGATTAGGGAGAGCCGACTAACCTTTGCCCTGTGCCGAAGACACAAGTGATGAAGTCAAAGCAGCCAGAGCAGAGGCCTCGGGTGAGCAAACAGCGACCGGCGAGGGTGTATGGTAGTGACTGGCGAGGGACTGAGGTTGTGATCGAGATAGTAATCGGCGAGGGATCGAGGTAGGCGTTTGCCTGCTACCCCTGACCCGAGCCAACCCCTCCCAAAATGCGCAGCCACTCCACTTTAGAGTATATTCTGTGAAGCGCTTTGAGACATCTCAATGACCTAATGAGGTGCTATATCAAATGCAAGGATTATTAATATTTTTCTTCTTCAAGCATCTATCCAATTCCTTTTTAAAAGATCATGTATTGTTCTCTGTTGACTTGCACACCTGACGTACCTTGACAGAAATATTACCACATTTCTGTGTGGTGTTTTTTTTCTTTCAGGATACTGGATGGAAGAATGCAATATGCCCGGATTATTATCCAAATATGTACGATGAAATGCAAACTCTGGTGCACGTGCTTCAGTGTGATATCGGGCAGGACATGCGAGTCCACAACAGTACCTTCCTCTGGTTCATCCCCTTCGTCAATTCTGTTATGGACTTGAAGAACCTGGGCGTGGTGTACATTGGGGAGGTGGTGCACCATATCCACTCCGAGATCAAGGACGTCTTGGACCGCAAGGTCAACTCCTGTGACAAAGTGGCCGGCTTTTTCATTCTGATCATGGTGTGCATCGTGGAGCTGCACAGGAACAAGAAGAACTTGCACATGCTGTGGTACAGTTCGCAGAAATGGGTGGACATGCTGGTGAAGTGCGCCAACCTCCCCGCCTGGGTGTTCAACCAGAACAAAGAGAAAGCGGGGACGCCGGGCAACTGCAGGATTACGTCCACCTCGCTGGCCGCCAAGTCCTCGGGAGTTTGTTCCTCCGTCACCAACTCCGTCCAGCAAGCTTGCGTCCAGCTGGTTCGGTGTTTCCTGAGGGAGGGCTGCCAGTCTCAGCAGAGAGGCACGTCACAACAATTCCTGGATAAACTGAACCTGCAGCTAAGGAACACTTTCATCCTGGGCTGGCAACTGAGCCACAAAGAACAGCAGGAACTAAAGACCTGCTTGATAGAAATAGTCAAACTGGCAAAAAATCAAGTGTCTGAAGTGAAGCAACCGAGCAGAGTTGGTAGAGGAGGCGTCCTACCTTGCTCTCTGATTAAGCAAGAGAAAGTGGAACGGTCGGTGTGTGAGAGGATAACAGAGTACTGTAACAGTGGTCCTGAACCACCAGATAGTGCAGTATCCCGAAGTATCACCTTTCAGTCAAATGTTGTCCAAGAAAAGCCAGTGAATTCTAGGAGCGTAGAAAATCTTTGTGAGGTTCCGGGGGCGTCAGAGTCGTCTGTCGAACCAGCCATGACCCCCGTCCACTCGTGTGATAGCAGTACATTCCCTCAGGAGACCAGCTCTGCTAAAGTTAGTTTTGATATAGTTACGGATGACGAATTGCGTGAAATGTTTAAGGAAACCTCTGATCCCGTCAGAAAGGAGTCTCTGGGGGATCCCCACAGCAAATACAAGCCAGCAGCGGAACATACGGACTCATCCACGCGGGGCTCTGGTCCTATTTCTCACCCTGAAGATAATGGCCAAATAAAACCACTTCCCTCAACTGACGGCGCTGAGCCAATGCGAGAGAGCACGTGGCGTCTTGTCTCTACAAAAATTGAAGATGACCATGTTGGTGCCAAGGTTCCTACGCTGTGTAATTCCGCACAGGTCATCCCGGAGTCGCCTCACAAAGCCAATGTGCCTTGCGCTAAGCCTGAAAAAAGCAACATGTTTAAGTTGGATCGAGCCCGACTGTTGCATCTGAATAACAAGATGAAGATCTTCAATCGCAAGACAAAGATGGATAAAGAAGAAGCAAGCTCCCCTCGTAAAGAAAGCACGGACACGGATTGTGCAAACTCAAGGGTTGGTCGTGGGCAATCAGGTGGCGAGCTGAGTGATTGGGATTCCAACCTGAAGCCCAAGGAACCTATCCGAGGTGGGGACTGTACACCAGATACGTCGATGCCTCATCAGGAACAAACACTGGCTTCAGTTTCTGCCGATAGACGCAAGTCACCAAATTCAGATGGTACATTGTCTTCAAAAGGCACAACAGATCCTCACAGTCCAAAAACTTCTTGTGCCTCGCCAAAGCCAGGTCAGTGCAGTCCTAGCAGGTTGGATGATGATGATGATGATGACAGTGACATCCCATTTGATGCATTAAGGATTAAGCTGAAGAAAAGGCACAATGTTGATGTCTGCTTACTAACTAATTCTGAGATCAATCGGGATCTTACTCGGCTCTCGCTGGCAGCTTCCTCCAAGTGCGCTAATTTCTCTGACGGTTTGACCCAGGAGTCTTGTGTTATGCAGTTTCCAGAGACGATTAATAGGAAAGTTAAAGGTTCCTTTTGTGTGCAAAAGGGAGAAATCCCCAAGTCTAGTTCATTTGTTCATGACTTGACTACCAACGAGAACAGAAGAATAATTGTTGCTGATTCACACTCGCCAAACCTGAAGGGCAGCACAGTAAAACTTGAGGCATGTGATGCAAAGAATCCAGATGGTATTGGAGATTCAATCCCGGGCACCACACATTCTGAAGGAAATAAAGCCTCAAACCACGGTACCTCTGACACCACATTCAGCAAACATGTAAGTCATCCGAAGGAAAGCGTTGTATTTGAGGAAGACGATTCGCAGTTTTTCGAGTTTGAAACTGAAGAAGAAATCTATTCTGTTTGGGAAGACACTCAGCCACAGGAAGGGCAAGCCACGGTGGCCAAAGTGACGGTGGTGGAACCTTCTAGTACCACCTATCATCAGCCAGGGTACAGCGACGTAGACCTGGACATACTGAACGAGTGGGGCTACGATACCGATTATGCAACTGATGAAATGATTGAGAAGGTGGCCAGCAGGGCAGAACTTCACCTGGAGCAACCACAACCAGTGCTGAGGATGAGCAGTTCCTCTTCTGGGAGTACAACCGATGAAGAAGACTCGGATGAATCTCACGTCAACAAGAGCGAGGCTTCACATGCGGTGTCCGCTTTCTACTCCGCATCTGACCTTCTGAAAGGAAAACATAGAGAAAAAAACATCTTAACTAGCGACCCGAACAGAAAAGGTTTCCTACTTCCAGGCGAAAATAAGCAGAAACTTGTGTCTGCAAATACAGGAGCACCCAAGGGTCAGTTGGCAAAAAAACTGCCTGTGAAGCAGGCGACGGGTGAAAGTAGGAAGTCTGATACGTTTAGTTTACCACTTTCCAAAGCAAAAGAGAAAAGCTCATTACAGGTCAAGGCAAGAGACAAGTACTCAACACAGGCCAGCCCAAGAAAAGACTTAAGCAAGTTCAGCCCAAGCGAGAAGAAGGCAAACTCGAGTGCTCACTCGAGGAAGGGTGCGGGAAATGTTTGCCCAAGTAGTAATGCACGTCACTCTAGCCTGGAGGGAAAAAGCTCTGGAGGATCGTTCACAACTGGCTTCAAATCCCCTTCCAAGGACCTACAGACGGACAAACCGTCAGACAAACCTCCTTTGAGTTTACAACAGAAAAAGGTCCGTAAACGGCCTGAACCAACATCATTGGTTGAGAAACTGGGGCTCAAGAAGAAGACCCGCAAAGCCTTTGATCTCTCCCAGGGCAGTCTTGATAGCTTGAACGAACTGCGTAATTACGGTCAAGCGAAGGGCACCATTGAGCATACCCGAAGCAAGAAGACCAAGCTGATTTCACCTCAGAAATTGACCACCTGTAAAAATCTACGGCTGTTAGCTTCTCAAGATCGCCAGTACTTGAGACAGGCTAAACACTCGAGCACACTGAAAAAGAGGAAGGAGACGAAGAAAGGCACAGTTTCACACCCTCGGTCTTCCCAGCTGTTGCCCACAGAAGAAGCAGGACGTGGCAGTTCTTTCTCATTCTCTAGCATGTCAGAGAATCACAGTGGCCATTTTACGTCTAGGGAAAAGCACAGTAATCCAACTATGGCCATCACAGTTTCTGTAGAGTTCCGCAGTGTAGGAAGCCAGACGGGGCCTGCACCAAGGAACCTATATTGCACATGATTGGAGATGAGGATAACGACCATCATGACTTCAACTTAACCCAGCACGATCCTGTCGATAAGGACTTGGACAATGAAAATCAGGAAGACGTTGATGCATTCAACTTGACCCAGAGAGATCCTGTAGATATGGACCTGGATAGTGAAGATGCCAAAGAAGAAGGCGACCATGGCAATTCAAAAGAGGAGGCTGGCTGTCAGCAGCTAGAACATGCAGATCCATCTGTTAACGCAGAGATCTTAAAGAAGAAACAGCCACCCCTACCCGGACCGAAATCTGACGTAGTATTCGCCACGCCAGCGTTGCCTGTCTCTCTCTCAAAGAGTTCCAGAGCTACAACCTCCAAGCGGTTTGCCTCCAGCTCCACCTCCCGAAATGCTCAGCTTGCTTCCGAAATGGAGATGCTACCGAATTGTAAGATTAAACAAGTCGGTAAGCCTCTGCTACCAAAACCAGCTGAGTCGAAGCTTCTGGTGTCCAGACCCTTTCCATTCCCCAAACCCGTCCCCACGACCAACATCCTTCGAGCACTGAAAGGGGTAAACGCCATGGCATCGGCCAGCCCCCCGGCAATGCCCACTAGGACTCCTCCCAGCTACGCTGCTCAGCCCCACGTAAGGTTCAAGCCACTGCGGGATCCGCTCTGCCTCAAAGTGGACCTGGCCGACCGGCAAAACCGAGACGCCTCGTACTTGATCAAGGATGTCCTGAAGTGGACCTATCAGATGTTTGACTCGCTCAGCCAGTTCGGACCTCCTGATTGCCTGTGTGAGTTTGCGCCCAGAGAGGTGCCCCAGAAGTTTAGTTCATACGAAGAGTATTTCCGTGTCTACTACCCCTTAATGATGCTCAACACGTTTGAACAGGTGAGTGAGGCTTGTCCCACAGATGTTGAGACTCACAACTCTTTAATTAAATTCGGAAACTGGTTTGTTGAAATTTGACAGTTTTCCAAAATTTGGAAACATTACATTTGTAGAGTGCCTTTCACGTTGGGAAGATGGCAAAACGCACTGGACAGTCGGGGATTTGGACCCGAGAAGAGGAGGGGGTTTGGGATAAGGGAGGCTGGAGAGTGGCCGAAGGTGCGGTCAAAGAGGACTGTCTTAAGACATGCCTTGAAGGACGAATGGGAGGGAGCGAGGCAAAGAGAATGTGGGATGGAATGTCAAAGGAAGGGGACAGAGAGATTGAAGCCCCGACCACCGATGGTGGGGTGGGCCAGGCGGGAGACGTGAATCAGGCTACAGCCTGCGGAGCAGAGGGAGCGGACAGGTTGAAATGGGGTTAGCAGGTCACGTAGGTAGGAGGGAGCAAGGCCGCGGAGGACCTTGAAGGTGAGGATGAGGATTTTGAACTTTAACTTTGAGGGATGGGGAGCCAGTGGAGCCGGGTGGGGGTGATGGGGAATGACCTTGAGTCCTCAGACCCTGTGGAATTTTGAGACCTCTGATGTGTCGCGTTTCTTTTATGCAGCTCGCTAAAGAGTGGACAGAATCCAGACAGTCACACAGACTGATCCAGAACTCCCTCACCCTGAAGAACCACTGGGTGCAGGAGCAAATATATCGCGCAGAGTTTCAAGGTGAGAAACCTTTTGTATGAGGATATCACTGTAGCTCAGTGGTCAGAGTACTTGCCTCCTGGGTTCAATTCCCAGGAGGGCGAAATGTTGGGCAAGTTTCCTTACTCCACACGCCTCTGTTTACTTAGCAGTAAGTAGGAACCCGGTAGTCGATTGGCGGATCGCTTTTCTGGGGGTAATAATTCCTTTTTTTTAAAAAAATGTTTTTTTTAGGATAGGCGCTATATCAAATGCAAGGTTTATAATTGTTATCGCAGTGTGGGTCTCTGTGGGAGGGCTGCTTCCCACCTGCATTCACGAGCTGCTGGTGAGACACTGCTGTGTGCTATTGGCTGTTGTGTTTCACTCTCAAGTCATTTTACTTTGCAGTAATAACAATAATAATAATCCTTGCATTTGAGATAGCACCTTATAATGTCATTGAGACATCTCAAAGCGCTTCACAGAATATACTATAAAGTTTCTGTTATGCATTGGAAATGTTTTTGATTGTAATTTACAGTGTATCCTGTGAAGCGCTTTGAGACGTCTCAACGTTATGATAAGGCGCTGTACGAAATGCAAGTATTATTATTCGATTCTCTCCCTCGATGGTTGTCTTTCACTTTGCCCGGCCCTAGTGGTGTCCAAAATATTGGTGTTTGTAATGATGATGGGTATATTGAGTGATTGTGTTCTTCCAGGATATTTCTCTTTCCTCAGATGATCGCACGATAAAGAAACTTGCATGCTGTCCCATGTCATGTTGCTATCCCAACTGTTGTGTTAAAGCCACAGCAGCAATGGGGAGCTCTGACTGTCCAGCGCCTTGGGGCATCCTCCCAACTGAAAGGCACTAATCAAATATAATTTGTTGTTTGTTGTTGTTGATTATCTTCTCCCCATTTGTTCAGTTTCATTACATGACACCAACTTCAATAAACATCAGCAACCCAAGGAAGATGATGTTGTGTTTCTCTGGCTGCTCCAGAGTCACATTCCATACTTGCAAGATGAGATGGTCGATGGCACTCCTGAGGTTCACCTCGGCCATATCTCAAGGGCATCTTATTCTTCAGATGGTGAGTTAAGGAGGTAACACGGGGAAGGTGATCCTCACAATCATTGGGAGAGCATTACTTTACAGCAACCTTTTGAGATAATGTAAGAGATTCGGATGGAGACGACTAATATGGTGGTGCAGTAATCCAAAGTTTATTACGTAATACAAATAGCCTAAATTATTCTTAAAATTGAGACCATAGATCCAGTAAGATTGATATTGATTCCACTGGGAAGTGCTCTGACCCTTAAACTATTCCAAAGTTACATCTCTCTTTTAACTGTTTGTAACACCGCTTCCCCTCGCAACTGATCCATAGTTTTCCACAAACTTTAGGGAGGCTTTTGCAGCCTGTGTGTTTCTCAGCCTTGAGATAAGCAGGTATCTGAGGAATGTGTCTCCTTTCTGAGCCTCTTTGTTTCCACATCAAATGCGATTACTCAGATCTCTGAGGAGTGAACATTTTCACTCCAAGGAAAAGATGGAACTTAATCACTCCAAGGAAAAGATGGAACTTAATCAAAACTGACCTCAGCCGGGTCAAGCCAATATATCTTTACGTTCGCTAATTCTAATTAACACACACACCCAGGAATAGGGAGGAGAAGGCTGCTATGACTGATTATCACAACCCTCTCAGGGCCCCTAGGCTACATTAAAACACACGCTCTAGTCAGCTATACTGAAAGGACTATAAATGTTTGGTTACATTCTAAAAGGTATACAGAGATTAATTAACAAAAAACTTAAAAACGTTAAGCATCCCGAATATATTCTTACAGTAATAGACCATTGCTCCGTCTAGCTACACATCCAATTTCCCACAACGATAATTCAGGGAATCATTCTTTCAATCTAATAATAATAATTGCCGAGTCCCATAGCAAGGTGGTTAGCCACTCGCCTGGCAAGCAAGAGGACCTAGGTTCAATTCTTGAGGAGGGTGGAACCTTAGGCAAGTTTCCTTACTCCACACGCCTCTGTTTACCAAGCAGTAAGTAGGAACCCAGTTGTTAGTTGATTGCCGCATCACTTTCCGGTTACAATCTCTCTTCCCCCCCCCCCCACCCAAATAAATAAATAGTTTGGTCATTCACTCCATGTTTGGACCCCCACCACACCCCATACTGACCACAACACGTGAAGACGTTCTCAATTCTTTCAATGATTATTAAAATAAAATTTAAATAATTTATTAAAATTAAATTATTAAAGGATTATTATTAATGGTTATGGTTCTCTGGATTGCAGAATGAAAACTGATTCTTTTTATTGGAGCTCAATTCTAACCAACAATAACTTACATTTATATAGCGCCCTTCTCACTGGCTGGTGTCCTGGAGGGCTTAACAGTGGCGGAGTCTGACCCCGAGCCAGGGGGAGAAGGAGGGGAGAGATGACCGTAGGCACAATGAAAAAAGGTCTTTAGATGGGATTTGAAAGTGGGGAGAGAGGAGTCAAGGCAGAGGGATTGGGGGAGAGAGTTCCAGAGCTTTGGGGCATAGTGATTGAAAGCAAGGCCACCGATGGTGAGCAGAGGAGCCGGCCGAGCAGAGGCAGTGGGTGGTGGGGTGGTAAGCAAATCGGATAGGTAGGGAGGTGGAAGGGCATGAAGGGATTTGAAAACAAGAGAGAGGATCTTGATGTCGATCCGTTCAGAAATTGGGAGCCAGTGCAGCCTCCAAGGACGGGTTAATATCTGGGCAGCGGAGTTCTGAATTAATTGTATTTTATATACGGTAGAACTGAGGAGATCAGCGAGGAGGGCATTTGAAAAGTCCAGCTTGGAAGTGTCAAAGGCGTGGACGAGTGTTTTGGCTGCTGTGAGTGTGAGGTGCGGGCAATGTGGAGGTGGAAAAAAGTGGTTCTGGTCAGGGAACCGGTGAGGGGGAGAAAGGAAAGTTGTGGATCGAACCTGATGCCTAAATTGCACACGGTTTCAGTGGGTCTAAGGGAGAGCCCGGGGAGGTTGAGGAGTTTGGACCCGCAGGAAAGAATACGTTGACAGGAGCCAAAGAGTATGCCTTCCGTCTTGCCGATCTTCGGCTGCAGGATATTTGCACTCATCCAGGCCTTGAAGTCCGTCAGACAAGCTGACAGAATATCAGCGGACTGGGAGCCGCAGTTGGAGGAGGAGAAGTTGATTTGGCTGTCGTGTGGAAGTGGATGTCTGCGGCTGACAGCGCTGAGAGGGAGCGTGTAAATGATAAAAAGAAGGGGGCCAAGGATGGAGCCTTGTGGTACCCCGCGGGTGATCGGGTGGGGGTGGGAGGAGAACCTGTTTCCCGAGATAAATCGTTGGTGGTTAGTCAAGTAGAACTCAAAAAAAACAATGTTTTTGCCTTGTATTCTGTGACTTTCTTGGACTGTGTGTTTTCCCTGTTGGAGCAGGGCGAGGATCTACACTACACCTCTCTGTCCAGACACGTGGGAACGTCAGCGCAGTGAAAAGCCAGCCCATCAAGTGTGAAGTCATCGGCTCCCTTGTGACTACCATCCGACAGTTTAAGGCCCTGCTCTTTCTGCACAAGACTCCTCTGGCTCTGCCTGTCATCTCAATCAGTTCCCCATTCTTTACGCAGAGAGACTTGGTGGACGATGCAAAGTGGAGCTCCGCTGTAAGTCAGATGAAATTGACTGTCTCCGTACCTTTTGGAGTGTTGTGGTTCATATAATTGAAACAAATGGAAACTTGAAACTAACAGTGAAAATGTCAAACGTGTGTCGTCTTGGTAGTTTTAACAGCCTGGGGTTAGGGTTAGGCAGACATTGTTGGTTTAAGCCCACGTCAGGACTTTAGGCTCACTATTTATACTGACACTCCAGTGCAGCACTGGAGGTATGCTGTATTGTCAGAGGTGTCGTCCTTCGGATGAGACGTTAAACTGATCTGCCTGTTCAGGTGAATGTTATAGATCCTGTGACACGATTGGATTGGAAGGGAAAGTAGTTGTTTTTGTCCGTCGTGTAGAAACTTGTGAGAGTGCATGCACTACCCGAGGAAGCTACAGAATTGATTGGGATGCTTAATAGTTGCAGTGTAAGAGCGTTAAGGGAAATATCATAAAAGACAATGAAATAGTACTGAAATATCTGCCATGATCTAAAAATTGGTGGAACAGGCGTGAGACTGAATGGTCTCTTGTTCTTACCGCAAACTTGCAGGTTCTTGAGTTATATTTCTAGAATAGTTGGAGGCATGCCTCACTCTAGTCTGACTATTGTGTTTTTTTTCACCTTCTCTCCCTCTCCATCTCTCTCTCCCCCTCTCTCTCTCTCTCTCCATGCAGAATGAGTACAATGAGTTTCAGCAGAGAGCCATCAACGTAGCATACACCATGGTTAAACAACATTCCCGAATTCCCAAGATCTGCCTCATTCAGGGGCCCCCGGGCACAGGGAAATCTAAGACCATTGTGGGTTTCCTGCATCGTTTGCTGAATGAGGTACTGAAGTGACTGGAGTAACAGTCGATGAGGCGAGAATCCTAGAGGCTACATACGCCCACCCACATGCTTTTGTTTCTTTACCCAGGGCTTTGACCTGCCTTCTGTTAGGGACCTTTAGGAAGTACAAGTCAATATCTGGTAGAGCGAGATATATGCATAATTTCACTTTGATTTGCAACAGTTCTCACACCCTTTTGTATACCCATGATGTGTATCTCGGCCACCCTCGCAGACTGTACCAGGTGGCCTCTGTGTTCGTTCCCTCCCTATAAGTGCAGGTCCATAATTTAAGGTGTACTTCACTTGCGAGAGTTACCACGATGACAGGTACTGCCAATTGCCGTTTATGTTACAGCGAATTGGGGATCTATCACACTAGCAGACCGTGACGTAGACTCAGCCTGTTTATGTGTCCCCTTCCTTCCAGATTGATTACAGAGACTTGAGAAAGCACGGTCAAGAAAACTCAATTTTATTGCTGTTTCATGAAACACAACCCAAAGCATTCGCAACTTAAACACTTCCCGACAAATTGGATAAATATGATGCCGAGACATAACAAATACAAAAATCACACTTTCACGAAATACCAGCTAGCAGCCACTCAACAATGAGTTAGTGAAAAGATGCAGAAAAATAATTGCTGACCTAGAGGATTTCTACTTTGTATCAATCAAGCATGTAACTTTTGATGTGGAATCCTGTAGCTCAGTGGTTAGAGCACCCGCCTCACAAGCAAGAGACTCGGGTTCGATTCCCAGCGCGGCGAAATGTTGGCCAAGTTTCCTTACTCCACATTCCTCTGTTTACCTAGCAGTAAGTAGGAACCCGGTTGTCAGTCGATTGGCGGATCACTTTTCGAGGGAAATAATCCTTTCGTACTCTAATCAATTTGATCTTTGAAAGAACAAAAGGCTGAGTTGATGTTAGTGAGAGAGAGTCAATATCGGCTGATCGCCCTCTCCCGTTTGTGTCCTTCATATGCAGGAAGAAGAGAATGTTGAACCTGTGATGAGCAGGAACCCCAGGACTAAACGTACCAGGATCCTTGTGTGCGCTCCATCAAACGCAGCCATTGACGACCTCATGAAGAAAATCATCCTCGATTTCAAGTCCAAATCCAAAGACAAGAACAATTGCTTGGGCAAGTCGTTTAAGTGGAGTTTTGAAGGCTTGTGTTGCACACGCCAAGAGCAGAGCTCCCCTTGCGTGGTTGATATGAGGCTTGTATGGATGTCTTTTTGCTGGTTAGAGTTTTAGAAACACTGCCCCCCCAGATAGCAATACGCGATAAATCAAAGGAGTGAACCAGGAAAGAGATATTTGTTAAATGCTTTGAGATGTCCGCCCGAGGTGAAAAGCGCTATATAAATGGAAATTGTATTGTATTTGGCCCAGTTTACTTTGGTAACATCGCAATATACTTCTGTCACTGAATGGATGGTACTAATGGGTCCGTGCACACAGTGAAATATTATTTTGCCAAAGAAAATGTTGCCAGGCCATGATGTGGGTAGTACTGTATTCTCACTTCTGGGTACATTGAAAGAAACAGTTGCTTGGAGATGAGTGAAGTCTTTCTGTCCATGATTCTATGATAAGATTGTGAGTTTGAGCCTCATATCAGGACTTTGAGCTCTGTCCAGGCTGACATTCCAGTGCAGTACTGGGGAAGCACTCCATTAGTGCAAGTGCCACCCCAAAGGCAGTGAACAGTCGAGGATTTGGACCCGATCTGGGGGAATGGGATCAGGAAGGGTGGGGCTAGGAAGCTGAGGGCAAAGAGGAGGTTCTTGAGACGGACATTGAAAGAGGTAAGGGAGGGGGCGAGGTGAAGGGACTGCGAGATGGAATTCCAAAGGGTGACATTGGGTGGTGAAACTCCAAAGAAGGGAGTTTCTTCCAGTGTCCTGGCCAACAATCCTTTGGATTAATTAATCATTCACTTCATGGTAGTTTGTGCTGGCTGATGCTCTACCTACGCAAATAGTCATTACATTTGGCGGCAATTACCATGAGAAACTTGGTCGCTCAATCCACGACTGTTTGTGGGACGCTGCTGTGCGCAATTGGCTATTGCGTTTCGCCCACAAAATATACAGGCGATTCAATTTACAGGATATTCCGTGAAGCGCTTTGAGACGCCTCAACGACGTGATAAGACGCGGTATCAAATTCAAGGATTATTATTATTGTGAAAATGCAAGTTCTTTACTTCATGTGTGTGTGGATTTGTGCTCCTCACCACAGGAAACTGCGGGGACGTCAACCTGGTGCGGCTGGGTCTTGAAAAATCCATCTCATCTGACGTAGTGAAATTCAGTCTGGATTACCAAGTAGACTACAAAATTAGTAAGTGTCGTTTATTTTTCCTTTCCTTTCCTCCGACAAATAAACTCTTGATTGATGGCTAGGGTTTTAATGAACGAGTGATGTTTGGAGGGAACATGAAGCTCCTCGGGCTCCTCTGCAGCAATGTAAATGAACAGCAAATTACATTTGTATCGTGCATTTCACGTCAGGAGGACCTCCCAAGGGGCTGGACAGTCAAGGATTCGCCCCCAAAATGCAGCTCTTGATATAACAAGGCAAGTGGGATAGGAGATTCGGGGAGTGTGGAGCAATTTTAGGGCAGATTTTTTACGAGGTGGCGGATATTTTTAAATATTCCTTCATGCGGAAAGGCCCTCAGCTGTGGTTACCATTTGCGGATTCCTGTAGAATAGTGGTTAAAGCGCTTGCAAGTGAGAGGATCCAGATTTGATTCCCGGACAGGGCAAAACCTTGGGTAAGTTTCCTTACTTCACACGCCTCTGTGTACCTATCAGTAAGTAGGAACCCGGTTGTTAGTTTTGCACAGATCATGGAAAAAAGCAATATTAATACAAGTCCACAAGACCATCAGTACAAGTTTGGCTTTTGCAAGTCCCTAAATGGCATTCATCAATCTCGGTTGTGTGCTGGTGATGTTATCCAGTACCGACATTGTCATGTTGTCCTTGTGTTCTGAGAGATTGTGCCCAGGATGGTCAGGAGAAACACTCCCAATACTGTCAGCCGTGGTCAGAGCATGAGTGGGTTTAATCCAATGAGTAAATGCCAATCGTAAAAAAACATAAAAGTAGACCTGCTGAGTGATGTAAACTGTCCCCTACACCTATTCTATGACAACAACCACTATTTCATAACAAAGTACTATTGAAAACTTGATACAATAAAACTACACGGACGCAGAGACATCCAGGTGTTCAGATCCCCTCTCTTTACAGTAGATTTCATAGCCAACAAACGTGGCAGTTTGGACGATTAAAAAGAATCCATAGGTAATGCGAAGAAATGTCGTTCACTTGTTGCCATTAGCTGAGGTGATCATTGTGTTGTAAAGAACCTTCAAGCAACAATTTAAAATCACACAGTTCCCATAGCTACACCAATGAGTTTATTTCATCAGTTTGACGGCACTTAGAGAAAGATGATTTAGGCAAAATAGCTACAATTCTACCTCAACGGATTATTAAAAACGGTATTATAATTCTAATAACCATTAATGCAAAAGCATCAGTGAACCATTTAAATGGAGAAACAAACAAAGATGATATGTTACCCCCAAATAGTAGTTCCCACTGACCCGATGCCTTTAGAGAACTTGTTCCATTCTTTACTGACATTACCAAAAAATGTCAAAACTCCCCAAGTCATTGCAGCCACTGCTCTTTCTTCTTCTGCTGAAAGGGTGTGCTGTAACAATTTATGCATAGCTTCAACAACTTGTTTTCTGTTACATCTTGGATAGGATAGTTTAATTTCTCTGTCTTTCAATTGTCTGAGTACTGCTGTTAACTTCGGGGAAATATACGATTGAGGTTTGATATGGTATGGCTACTGATGCTTTGAGTTTTCTTAATTGTGGTACGATGATGAAAGGCCATCATAAATGAACCTGTGAGTTTTTATGTGACTAGATGAGATCCGTTGGGCATCATGTAGGATTGTAAGTAAGGTGTTGGTATTGCTTTAATATATATTGGGCAGTTAGTGGAGGTTGAATTGTTAGTGGGCGTATAGTGGGAATAACAATAGAGTGAGTTAAAGGATGAGGAGGATGAGATCAAATAGGATCAAGATCTTTGCTTGAACTGCTCGCTCTTGTGGGTTGAAGGTTGTGAAATTGATCTGTTGCTTCCCTGGTCTCCGAGCTAATGTGTGTGTTTGTATCTCACAGAGAAGAACCAGCCTGGTGTGGATCAGCAGATTCAGTGGCGCAAACAATATCTAGACAAGCGGCTGGACGAGCTGGGGAGGCAATGTGCCATCATGAAAAAACACAGAGAGCAGGTAACTTATTAGCAGGCGGTGATTAATTGAACCCATTAAGGGTTCAATACCGCGGCCCAGGCTTTTCATCCTTTATATCCAATTTGTGGATACAGGAATAGGGGGCTCAACAACAACAAATTACATTTGTACAGCACCTTTCACATTGGGAGGATGTCCCAAGTGTGGTGACGCCATGACAAGGGTTTGATCAAAACAATAGCATGCCGCACTCTTAACAGACATGTTGAGCAAGTTTCCTTGCTCCACGCGCCTCTTTTTACCTAGCAGTAAGTAGAAACCCAGTTGTTAGTCGATTAGCAGATTGCTTTTCTGGGGATAATAATCCCTGAAATAAAAAAAAACAATAATAATTTGGTCACTCAATCCACGACTGTTTGTGGGACACTACAGTGCGCAATTGGCAGTCGCGTTTCACCCACAAATATAGTCAATTCACTTTACAGTATATTCTGTGAAGCGCTTTGAGACGTTTAGAAGATGTGAAAAGCACTATATCAAATGCAAGGGTTATTATTTGTTGTAGACATGAGTCTCCGCTCAAACGAGTATTCAATCGAGTTTGCAGGTTCCCTGGCCATGATGGCACCACCACCACACAAAGCACTGGACAGTTAGGGATTTGGACCCGAGCTGGGGGTTGGGATCACGAGGGTGGCAGGGAAGGTGACCACAAAATACATATCAGGACTTTGAATTAACAGTCTAGGCTGATGCTCCAGTGCTTTGTTGGGAGTGTGTTGCAATGTGGGAGATGCTGTTCTTCGGATGATAGGCAGGCAGTGATACATTGTGCCCCTTACAATTCAACACTGGATCCCTGGCTTTACACTCTTTATATCAAATTTCTGGATACAGGAATCGAGGGTGCTGTTTCTAAATATATACTGTACTGAGTTGTGGAACAGTGAAGGTCACATGAACCGCGTGCCGAGACTGCGGAGGTTCTAACAAGGTTTGTTCTCACAGATTGTGAAGTTAACTGAGGAGAGGAGGAAATTGGACATGGAGAGACAGAAGCTTGGTCGCACTATGAAGGAGGTGAGAGCCGTGAGGAACTGGTAGAACGTAAGACATTTATATGCACTACGCTGACCTCATTTGGCAGTTCTTCCCTCAATGCTCATCATTTTACCCCTAAACTGTACTTTCAATCCTGCTTACAAACAAACCATTACTGTTGATATAGTGCCTTGCTACGTCATTGAGACGTATCACAGCACTTCACAGAATATACTGTAAAGTGCTTACAAACAAATTGTATTTTGTGGGCAAAATGCAGCAGGCAGCAGTCGTTGATTTGAGTGCCAATTTTTTTTGAGGAATTATTACCCCGGAAAGCAATCCGCCAATCTGACTAACAACCTGGTTCCTACTTACTGCTGATAAACCGAGGTGTATGGAGTAAGGAAACTTGCCTAACGTTTCTCTCTCCTGCCCGAGGAATCGAACCTGGGTCCTTTCGCTTGCGAGGCGAGCGCACTGGCCGCTGCACAACATTACGGGACTCCTTTTAATATTTGTCTTCATCTAATTACCTTTAAAAATAATGACTTGTTCTCTAACAACAAAGGGTGAAATGGCAGCTCCAGTTCCTCATTTGCAGTCTTACCTTCACAGCATCACCGTCAAATGCAGGACGTGCAGCTGAACATTATCCTGGAGTCACACATCATCTGCTGCACCCTGAGCACCAGCGGGGGCGGGCTGCTGGAAATGGCGTTCCGCAAACTGGGACACGAGCCCTTCAGTTGCGTTGTCGTGGATGAGGTGAGCACGCGCCAAGAAGGAACACAGGAACAGGAGGAGGAGGCCATTCAGCCCCTCGAGCCTGTTCCACCATTCTATAAGATCATGGCTGATCTGTACCTCAACTCCAATTACCCGCCTTGGTCCCATATCCCTTGATACCCTGACCTGACAAACATGTATCTGTCTCAGTCTTGAAAATTTGAATGAATCCAGCATCCACTGCCTTTTGGGGAAGGGAGAGAGCTCCAGATTTGTTGTGTGTCCCTATTGTTACTTCGTCTCGAGGCTACAGAAGAGTTTTACTTTCTCGCATGCAGAATTGCCTCCCGGCTTGAGTTGCACACACACTCACACACACTGATCCTCTGGACAGTCTAATGCAGTTAAACACTTGTACTAAATACAATTAAGTAACTTCTAAACACAATTATCATTCTTCCACATGTTTCACATTGTCGGTTAATGCGCTGTAGGGGGTGGGGGAAAGCATGGGGTGAGGGGTAACAGGACTTTGTGGAGACTCTGTAGTTTGCCCTCAGTTTGCTATCTGCTCTGTGTGTTTCTCAGGCAGGGCAGTCATGTGAAAGTGAAACATTGATTCCTCTCGTATATCGATGCCCGAAACTCATCCTGCTGGGAGACCCCGAACAGCTGCCACCAACCATCATCTCCATGGTAAGAATTTCCTTTTGAATGTGCTACCCAGGAGCCCCTCCCCATATTACAGTGTAGCAATCGGGGTTTGACCGCTGATCGAAGCTCTTCCCCTCTCCTGGTGACCAAGTTTGGGATTATTAATAATAATAATAATAATCCTTGCATTTGATATAGCGCCTTATCACGTAATTGAGACGACTGAAAACGCTTCATGGAATATATTGTAAAGTGTGATTGTATTTTGTGGGCGAAACTCGGCAGCCAATTGCGCACAACAGTATCCCACAAACAGTCACGATTGAGTGACCCAATTTTTTTGGGGGGGATTATTATCCCAAGGAAGCAATCTGCTAATCAACTAACAACTGGGTTCCTACTTACTGCTTGGTAAACAGGGGTGGGTGGGTGTGTGGAATAAGGAAACCCGCCTAAGAATTCGCCCCGCCCGGAAACCGAACCCGGGTCTTCTCGCATGCGAGGCTAGCGAGCTAACCACTATGCTATGGGTAAAGTGGATGTTTGTGTGTCTCCGCAGAAAGCGCGGGGGTTTGGCTACGGGCGATCGATGATGCAGCGGCTACAGAAGGGTCTGTACGATGATGTGAAGCAGAGTGGTGTCCGGCAGCAGCCACATGTGCTGGAGCTGCTCACGCAGTACCGCATGCATCCTGACATCTGCCTGTTCCCCTCCAAGCACATCTACGGAGGCAAGCTAAAAACCAACAAGTACGTGGACGACCATCTATCAGCCGAGCTCCTAACCTCCCCTGTGTGTGGTGTGTTGCCCTGTGCACCTCGGCTTTGCCCAGGTTTCTGAATGTACGCAGTAAACAACAGCAGCAGCTTGCATTTATACAGCACCCCTCATGCAGGGTAGCGACTCAGAGCGCTTGACAGTGGCGGAGCACGATGCCGAGCTGGGGGCATAACCTTAAGTCAAGCCACTTTACAGTAGCGCTTTGAGACGTCTCAATGACTTGATGAGGCAAAAACAACTGCAAGTATTATTATATTATATATTCAGTTCAGTCAAAGCTTCTTCCAGATGAGATAGTCCTATGGAACCACTTGGATTCTAGTTGCATTTAAGTTTCTCAAACATTTCGACTTCGACCAGCCAAGAGTATGTGTGAGAAGGGAGAAGGTCCCTTGATGGGAAGCCTTGCATGACTTGTGGGCTCAGCACTGTTATTATTATTATTAACAGCATCGAACCATGTTGATTGTAATATATCCCTCTTCTCGAGATTGGTTGCGATTTTCTGCATTCCCTCTTCTCCGATCTAACCCCAAAAATCTCTGATTCTTTGTACCTTTTTTGGTCACAGACACCAATCTGTTCAATGTGTTGTTAGAAATGGCAGCTGCAAACCAAGGACAAACTTTTTACCAAAGCGCAGCTTGTTTCAAAACAAATCTTTTTTTCCCCACGATGATTTTGAAGAAAACCTGCTTCCACCGTCCTTGGCTTTCAAACAGCTGCAGCCTCCCTGAAGTAAAACAGTGCTGTGAGACGTCCTCCTGACGTGAAAGGCACTATACAAATGTAATTTTGTATTGTAAGCCCATGAGCCGCTGCTCAAGCAACCCAGCAATCTGGATTACTTACGGGAGTGACATCTCGCTGAGCTCTCTCTCTCTGCCTGCCTGTCTGTCAGACGCTTTAATGTGTGTTGTGGGTTCTTTCCATTTTGAAACTCAGCACAACGTTATTAATAGCACAGTGCTATCTTTTGCACAGTATTTTGATGCACGTTCAAAATGTAACTAGAAAGACTTCACTATATGACTTTGGAGAATTCACGCTGTTTTCTCTCTCTTTTCCCCCTTGTGTTTGCCCAGAACCGTGGAGATGCAACGGTGTTCTCTCAGTTGGCCTTTTGAGCCATACATGCTGTTCGATGTGATCGATGGTTGTGAAATCCGCAAGAAAGGGTGAGTATCGCTGGCAAGATATGTGAGGAGGTGTGGAGCCATGAACTGGACATGCAACAAGAAATAACAAATTACATTTGTACAGCACCTTTCATGTCATGAGGACATCCCAAAGCAAAACACCGGAGGGAACTGGCATCCATTAAACCTCCTTGGTATGGGCGTGTAAGCTGGTCCCAATGCAACTAACCAAAGCACTGTTAACTATACCGTACTAAGTCCTGTAGCGTGACTTGTGAACTTTTGGAACTCTACAGGAGTCCTATAGCTTAGTGGTTAGAGCACTCTCCTCGCAAGTTTGATTCCCGAGCCAGGCAAAACCTTAGAAGTTTTCTTACTCCACACGCCTCTGTTTACCTAGCAATAAGTAGGAATCAGGTTGTTAGTCAATTGGCAGATCGGTTTCCAGGGGTAATAGTCCTTTCAAAAAATATAAGAAAAATAAAAATTTGGTCACTCACACATGACTGTGTGAGACACTGTTGTGCGCAATTGGCTGCTGTGTTTCACCCACAAAATACACAGTCAATTCACACTACAGTATATTCTGTGAAGCCTTTTGAGATGTCTCAACGATGTGGTGAGGTGTTATCTCAAATGCAAGAATTATTATTATTAACTATCCTGCCAGTGGGTATCGTGTTCCAGCAAAAAGGGGAGTAAGGCCCATGGCTGTTTTTTTATTTTTTCTTCCCTCCCACGGCTGTGGCAGACAACCGTGCTCTGTCTGAGATTTCCAGTTCAGTTCCAAGGAGACCCGCTTACTGAGATGGTCTGAGATCCACTAACTCAGGACAGAACAGGGATCGATCCCAAATCTGTCTTCCATGTGGCTCAGTTCCTCTTTGAGCCGCTTGGGGGAGCTCTTTTACAACTGATAGATTTCTGTGGCACTTTCACGACTGTTTGTGGGACTCCGTGAAGCACTTTGAGACGTCTCGACGACACGATCAGGCGCTATATCAATTGCAAGTATTATTATTGATGCCTTTTATTTCCCCTCTCTCTCTTTTCAGTTCTTTCAGCAACCTACAGGAGGTGAAGCTGGTGATAGCTTTGATCACTCTGATTGCTGAGCAGCAGAAAGGCAAATGTAATAATATTGCAGTGATCACCCCGTACAATGCCCAAAAACAGGAGATTCAGAATCAGATTGAGCAAGCCTGCAGGAAAGGCTTGGACCAGGGCAGGTAAGGAGAACTCGTTTCATAAACCCACACCACCCACCTGTTTTTCCTTTTAATGAGTGGGGTACTCGCCCACAAAATTTACAGTATATTGTGTGACGCTCTTTTGACACATCTCGAAGATGTGATAAGGCGCTATATGAACTGCAAGGATTATTATTATTATAATGGAAGCAGATCCCACAGTAGCTTTCAAAAGGGAATTGGATAGGTACTTGAAAAGGAAACATTTGCAGGGCAATGGGGAAAGAGAGTGGGGAAGTGGAACTAGTTGGTAGCTGTTTTCAAAGAGCTGGAATGATGAGCCGAATGGCCTCCTTCTGTGCTGTAACATTCTATAATAATAATAAGCTTCATCTCATTCGTTCCGGATACTATAGAACCTGATTATCAGCTCACATCTCCCTGTTCCGAGAGATTGGGAGGAGGAGATGTTGAGAATCCTGTTGCCATTATTTTGGAAGTAGAGTAGGGGAGGAGGGGTGGGGAGGAAGCTGGTGGTCCTGCCTGTTCTTCCATTCCTCTCTCTCCTCCCCCCCCCCCCACCAAAAAAATATAGATCAGTCAATCATTCATCTCATCACTGTGCGTGTGCGATGTTTGTACAGATTGGCTGCTGTTTGTCCATCTAAGTCGCTGCCTTTCATGTGTGAGGGGCAGTGATTTTCATGGATTGAGGCACTGCGTCAAATGCAAGTCTTTATAATAATCCTTGCATTTGATATGGCGCCTTATCTTTACAGATTATGCTGTAAAGTGAATTGACTATGTTTTGTGGGCGAAAGTATTATTGGTTAAACATTGAGTCCTGGATCCCAGGGTTAAGTCCAGCGTGGCTTCTAGATGGAACTCTCCACATGCTGGGTTTTTAACTGCTGTTGTATCAGAAACGGGAATGAAAGAGGCTAAAGACACATTGACGTGGTGCTGTTTTTCACTCGTGCAGGGCGATACAAGTGGGGACAGTGGATGGCTTCCAAGGCTGTGAGAAGGATTGTATCATCGTCACCTGTGTCCGAGCCAACAACCAGCAAGCCAATATAGGGTGAGGCGTTTCTTTCATCATTTCATTACTTTTCTTTCTCTCCCCACCCTATGGAAATCTATCCCACATTCCCTTCGCCTCGGTCCCTCTCTTACCTCCTTCAAGGGCGTCTCAAAACCCTCCTCTTCGATCAAGCCTTCGGCTGCCCTCCACCCTCCCCGATCCAGCCCCCTAGCTCGGGTCCAATTCCCAAACCGACCAGCGTTTGGATGTCCTACCGACATGAAAGGCGCTATACAGATGTAATTTTGTAGTGTAATGTAATTCAAACCCCACTTAGCGTTTATCTTACATAGAATCCTAAAATATTATGGCACAGAAGGAGGTCATTCAGCCCATCGTGCCTGTGCCAGCTCTTTGGAAGAGCTGCCCAATCAGTCCCACTCCCCCACTCTTTCCCCATTTCCCCCTTGAAAGTTGTTATTGAATCTGTTTCCACCACCCTTTCAGGCAGTGCATTCCAGACCCAAGTTTTCATGACTCCTCCAGACGTGAGATTTAGGATTACGTATCACAAAGCAATCTCTATAATCTCTCCTCCCTCACACATGACTTTCTCTCGTTCTTGCTCTCCTTTGCACACTCACTCTCACATGCTCACTCCCTCTCCTTTCCCTCTCCCTCCCGCTGTTCACACACAGCTGAGATTGTTGATTTGCAATTGAGAGCAAAAAATAAAGTTGATATTCCCTAACCCGGTGGGGGCATTGGGAAATTTCACCCACAAAATACACTTTACAATATGTCCCGTGAAGCGCTTTGAGATGTCTCAACGACCGTGATAAGGTGCTATATCACCTGCAAGGATTATTATTATTTACTGTTATTGCCTTGATGTTCTGCCATAGAATGTAATAAAAGGTGTGTGTTCGGGTTCGAGCAAGTGAAATTATCTCTGAATTCTCTGGTATTGTGACTAAGCACTGGAGCTGCTGATTGGAAGACGATTGATTTATTGATGAGCCGTTTGGCTGTTTGCAGGTTCCTGGCCGATCGACAGCGACTGAATGTTACCATCACTCGAGCCCGCTTCAGTCTTTTCATTCTGGGGCACCTGAAAACACTGACGGTGAGTCCTGCCTGCGTCAGCACCTCCCTACCAAGTTACGTTGGCTAATCAGTAGGTTAAAAATATGCTCATGGAATCCCGTAGCGTAGTGGTTAGCGCACTCGTCTCGCAAGTGAGAGGACCCGGGTTCGATTCCTGGGCGTTGTGAAACCTGAGGCAAGTTTCCTTACTCCACATGCTTCTGTTTACCTAGCAGTAAGTAGGAACCTAGTTGTTATTCGATTGACTGATCGCTTTCCAAGGGTAATAATCACTCAAATAAATAAAGAAATTTGGTCACTCACTCCACAACTGTTTGTGGGACCCTGCTGGGCGCAATTGGCTGCTGCTTTCCTCCCACAAAATACACAGTCAATCCATTTTATGCTATATATTGTGAGGTGCTTTGTGACGCCTCAACAATGTAATCAGACGTTATATCAAAGGCGAGGTTTAATAATATTGGTACTTGTGTTATTTAATCAGAAATTGAACCGTTTTATTTTGTGAAAACTTAAATGTTACTGTCATTTCTCACTAATGTTTTCCGGTGTATGGTGTGTTTCCCTACATTTTTATAGTTTTGACAGAGGGGCAGGGCAGAAGAAACATGTGAAGTCTTGTTGATTCTCTCTCTCTTTTGCTTCTGATGTTCAGGACAGTAAAGACTGGAACGCTTTGATTCAGGATGCCCAAAGGAGAGGGGCCATCGTAAAGACATGTGAGAGCGACTACAGGAAAGACTGCAGGAAAGTCATGAAACCTAGGCCAGCTTTCCAACGAGCCCTTTCAGTTCAGGGCACGGGGGACAGAAAGGCTGTCCCTGAGCTATTGCGGAGAGCGAGCATTCCCATGAGCTGTGAGTCAACCAAGAGAGTTGAGCAAACGCTGAAACCACCAGCCCCTTCTCTACCGGTGGATACAGTACACCCCCAACCTGGTCCTGCTCAGAAGCCGGCTGACGATCGCCCGAGGGACCCGCGGCTGGCCCGGAAACTAGGAGCTCAGACCAAGGACGTGGGGCCACAGCTGGAAGAGGCCTCGACTCGATGGCCAAATCCACCAGACGCACACACGCCCCTGGCCAGCAGGGGGCAGCGCGTTCCTCGTCCGTCGCTCCCTGGGGCTTCTTGCCAGGCGGCCGTTGGCAGGAGAAACGAGACTTCCTCCTCCCTTGCCTCCAGGAGCTGTGCGTCCGCTTTCGGTAACAATCGGGACAACAGAGACAGACACCGACACTCACACTCGGCCAGGCCCCAGACACAGGGGCAGGAGGCAAAGAGGAGAAGGGATGACAGCAGTGCGGGGGAGCAAGGTTACAGCGAAATGAAGCGGAAACGGAAATGAGAAAAATAAGATCTGAGCAAAACAGTTTTTCTGAAGCGGTGGAGGTTTACCAAGCGGTGACTGCGCTGGTAACAGGACGTTTTCGCCAAACCGGGGGGGGAGAAGTGGGTAATGGACAAATCCTACTGTGAGATGTTGGTGGCTGAGGTGAGCCTGGCACAGCTCTGCGTGGCTTCACCCGAAGGATAGTTTTTGTTCTCGTTTATTTACACTTTCATCGATGGCGTTTTCCCCTTGAACGCTCTGAGACGCTACCCTGTGTGGAGGGCCCTGTGGAAGTGCAAGTTGTTGTTGTTGTTCCCCTTCTCTGGCCGCACATGTGTCTTAAACCCAAGTGCCTCGGGCCTGGGTTGCACTGAGGCGTCTAGTGATTTTGGTACAAACCCAGCTTGCACTTTGTCTTCTAACATTTCACTTTTATAAACTCAGAATGAAGAGATTTTTTTATACATCCACATACATATCAGGGAAGTTTATCTTTTTCGCGATAAGTCTTGATCTTCCATTTTCTCTGTGACGGTTTACCACTAGCACTTCCCAGCTTTTCCACTGATTTTTTTTGCTCCTGTTCCTTTGTTTTCTCTACTCTTAGAACTTTTGAGCTTGTTTGCATTTGTTCGACCTTGGAAGAGGAGGAGGGAGCAGGCGTCTCAGCTCTTCGAGTCTGTTCCAAGCTGCGTCCAATCTTTGGGCGTGGGCTTGTGTTTTGATGTATTGTGTGGTTTCCAGTTACACAATATAATTGCCTTTAATTGATCACCAAGATGCATTTTTTTCCTATATACAAACTAGCAGGAAAGTATCCGCTGATTTGGATTTTTTTTCCACTCTATTTTTCAAATAGTTTATTTTATTTTGTCAAACAGTGAGGAAATGACCACACCGTCACTGTGTTTAAGCGTGGCTGGATGTTCACAGTTCCTGTGAGAGTCCTGTGCTGGAGTTTTGTGGTGGTGGTGTTGGTTGGGCGGTGGGAGGTCAGGTTTTAACCGTTCTCACTCCTGAAATAAATTTGAAACTCGACTTCAATTGTGAGCAGATTGTAAATGTGGAGGGCGACAGACATTAACTCTGTCAGCTACCTCCAGGTTAGCCTTTCCTCTATGCTCACTGGAGTTGGCTGTACATGTTGGGACTTTTTCTAAACGCTGCAGCTGGAAAACTTTTTACTAGGAGAATGAAACAGTGAGCGTTGCCAACAGATGAGACCAAATGCATTTCGATGCAATTTCCAGCTAAACCATCAAACATTCCCCCAACCAAACAACCACATTCCTTGACTGTAAAATCTTGTTCCTTAATGCTACCTTCCAAACCCAATCCCATTCCCTAATTCTACACTCCCCCAATGCCTGCAGTATAAGCTTTTTGATGGATCAGTGTTGTGTTCAGTCACTGCTCCGTGCCAACTTGTAAACTTTGAGGGTCAGTTATTGCTGGTGTATAGTGTGAGTTACCTGATCTCACTGATACAGTCGCTGGGATGATAAATCACAACTGTTCGTCGGACGTCCTCCTGACATGAATGGCGCTGTGCAAATATAATTTGTCGTGGTCCACTGTTTCCTGTTGAAACCATGTGTGTAGAAGTTAAAGCAGGACTGAGCTGCAGGGTGGGGCAGTCCTAGACTGGAGGGGCAGTGGAGAACAATTTATCAGTCACGTTCTCATGAGTTGCATATGATGTGGTCACACACACACCCGCACGCGCACACGTGTGTGTGTTTTTCACGTTTGTCGCATTTCCCAACGATCAAAATAATTTTACAAGGAAAGACGGCCGGCAACTCGAAAGCTTTAAAACATTTAATTTGAGAACAAAAGATTCTGTCAATTAGGTCAACCGGAACAATCTGTCTGCTTTACTTTGGTCTCATGCGGTGTTTGGTGGGTGAACGACCCCCTGCGCCACATGATGGTTGTCTGAGATTATGTAAATATAAGGTGCCGCCTCAGGTGTTGGTTGACAGCACAGTTTCAACCAAGAACAGAGACTCCACTTTGCCTTGTTGTCCCAAATCGCACCTTTGCACTAGTGGAGCAGAGTAAGTTTTCAATCTCTGGATTATTTCCTGTGTTGTACATATGTTTCTTAATGTTGATATGTAAATACAATAGTCTTGGATAAAGTATAAAAGACTTGAGATACCTTGGAGATTTTTTTTGCTGTTTTTCAGTTGGATCGGTTGCACGTAGTTGCTGTGTTTTACCTCTGCTGGTCACGTGTAGTTCCTTGTGAACTCTTTATAGCGTAACAGAATGTTACAACACTACAGAAATACAGTCACATAACAATACTTACATTTGGTATAGCGCCTTATCACATCGTCGATGTCTCAGAGCTTCACAGAATATACTGTGTGTTTTATGGGTGGAACACGGCAGCCAGTTTGCATACAGCAACGTTCCACAAACCGCCACCGAGTGAGTGACCAATTTCATTTTGTGGATTGCTGGCCAGGACATCGGGAGAGAGAAACTCCTCTTTGTGGATAGTGCCCTGGGATCTTTTAACGCCACCTGAACAGGCAGACAGGATCTCAGTTTAATGTCTCATTCGAAGGACAGTACTCACGACAATGCAGCACACCCCCAGCGCTGCATTGGAGAGTCAAAATTATCCCGGTTGCAACAGACTGTACCATAGATTTAATCTTTTCCCCTACTGCCATATAACAGAAACACAACTGTCTGAATGATTAGGAAGGGATTAAGGGTTATAAAGATTAGAATCAAATTGTACGTGCGATGGAAACTGCTGGGATCAGTCATAGGGTTTCTGGGAACTGGTTTTTGATCTCTCTCTCTCTCTCGCTTGGGGGCTGGGAGAAACTTCACTTTATCTTCCCTGGGAAAGTAAATGGGTTTTGTGTAAAGAATTCCTCCTTCCCCCCGGCCGCCAACCCCCCACCCCCAAAAAAACGCTGGGCTTGTTCATGTCATTGCTGTTTGTGGGGATTTTGTTGGGAAGTAACAGCAGCTGCCCTTGAAAGTAACTCTACATGTGCGAGGCCATGTGTGAATTGGACAGCAACAGCTTGCATTTATATGGTGCCCGTCATGCAGAGTAGCGTCCCAGATGCAAGGATTGTACTTGGTTTATGGAGCACGTTGTTGAGGTGTCTCAAAGCCCTTCACAGAATATATTGCAAGGTGGAGTGACTGGATATTTTGTGGGTGAAACGCGGCAGTAAATTGCGCGCAGCAGTGTCCCGTGGTTGTGTCGCGTATGGAGTGACCACCAGTCGACTGACGAGCGGGTTCCTACTTACTGCTAGGTAAACGGGTGTGAAGTAAGGAAACTTACCTAAGGTTTCACCCACCTGGAATTTGAACCCGGATCCTCTCGCATGTGAGGCGAGCGCTCAAACCACTACACTATGCTGTCCTTCGAATGAGACTGTGAGTCTTATCAAATTGAAACATTTCCAAGGATATCAGAAGTTGTAGGCAGTGTGTTGGGATGTGAATGGGAATAATGTGTCGATGGAGGAAAATTCCCATTGCTATTAAAAAAAAAGCGGTCTGGAGTCCAGGAGAGAAGAAACTCAATGGATCAGAGCCTCCGATAGCGGAACTCTGCTGAACCTTTACAAGATTCCTTTGTGTTTCCCATCACACAGAGAATACAGTTCAAGATCCTGGTCCTCACCTTCCAAGTCCCCCATTGGCCTTGCTCCCCCTACCTCTGGGACCTCTCAACCTGCTCACTCCCTCCGCTCAGTGGGCTCCGGCCTGCTTCACCTCCCCCGCTTCGCCCACCCCACCATCGGCGGGCGGACCTTCTGCCTCTCTGTCCCCACCATCTGGGACTCCATCCCACAGTCGCTCCGCCTCACCCCTTCCATTCGCCTCCTTCAAGACTCCTCTTTGACCGTTCCTTTAATCACCCTCCTTCCACCACCCCCTCACTCCACCGTCCCTGATCCCAACCCCCAGCTCGGGTCCGGAATACTGACTGTCCAATGCCTTGGGACATCCTGATATGAAAGGTGCTAAACAAATGTAATGTGTTTATCCCTGTCTTAAATTAACTTGGATAAAGATTAGAACAATTTAAAAACAAGCTTGATGTATTTTTAGCGCTGGGGTTATTTTTACAGTGAGCTCTCTGCTTTGTCCCCCCCCAGAAGCACCATAAGGCTATGTTTGAGCGATAAGCTAATTTAGCTCAAGTCAGATCACAAACTTAGGACCAATGTGTGGTTGTGATAAACTCCCTCCTTGCCTTGTTTAATAATAATCCTTACATTTAATATAGCACCTTATCATGTCGTTGAGACATCCCAACTCAAAGAGCTTCATAAAATATACCGTAAAGAGGCTGAAGCCAGACATGAGGTGAGGTTCCAGTCCAAAGTCTCCCCAACACATAATAATAATGATAATAATAATTGATATATATTTGTGACGTGTCAAAGTGCTTCACAGAATATACTGTAAAGTGAATTGCCTGTAATATTTTGTGGGCGAAACGTGGCAGCCAATTGCGCACAGCAGTGTCCCACAAACTAGTTGTGCAGTGAGTGACCAAATTATTTTCTTTATTTATTTATTGAAGGGTCTGCCAATTGACTACCCACCAGGTTCCAATTTACTGCATGTGGAGTGAGGAAACTTACCTAAAGTTTCGCCCCGTCCTGGAATCGAACCCGGGTCCTCTCGCTTGTGAAGCGAGTGCTCTAACCACTACGCTACAGGACTCCTTTAGCCAGCAAAGCATACCCACAGGAACCAACCAGCCCTCCATCTCACCCATACTTTACATCAAAGAAGAAGGCCATTTGTCCCACATCCTGAGGGAGGCTAGAGATAGCGAGTACAAAGGAAGAAAAATAAGACCAAGCAATGATGTAACCAGTCACTTTACTGTGTGCTGCAGTTGTTGTATAATAAAATGTCCATAATATTTCATGTTAACATTTAGATAGAGCAAAAAATAACCATTTCTACAAAAGAAAAGTACTGAAACCGGGTAAGAGTTATTTATAGTGCTCGTCATGTTATATACCAGTCGTTTTCACCTCATGTCAAACCATTCTCATTAGCAAACCCCAAACCAAACCCTTTCTGTGAACTGGTATTTTTGCGAAACGCAGCCACTAGTGTGTGTTAGGCATCAGTACTCCTAGGCAATAGATGAGATTGAATATGCAGGAGGATTTGAACAGTAGAGTTGTCGATTTTGTTCCTGGATATTCCATAGGCTGTATAGTGATGAACTTACTTCCTAATATAAATGTCCGCTTTTGTCCCCCAAGTGGATGTGAGCCATGTTCATTGTAGATCCCATTTGGTGTTATGTTTACCTGTACACTCTTACCTTCATTGGTTTTTTTTTTGGTGTCGTGGGCTTAAACTGACACTGCCACCCTGGCTGGTGGGCCCCACCAGTGGGTCGCTGCCGACCAAATAGGCTTGTGCTTTCCCTGGGGAAGCAGACCTTGGTTAGGCAATGTTTGTCTGTCTGTCTGTCTCCGGGGCGGGGGGAGGGGCCGTCGGCGTAAAGGGTCCGTCATTCGTTGAGCGCTGCCAGGATGCGCAGGATGAGTGCGGAGACCACCAGAATCGCTGCGGAGGATCCCAGGGAGGCGGAAGGAGGGCCCGAGTTGCAGTTACTGTCCTCGGAGCTGCAGCTGCCACTCTGGCACAGGATACCCGTGTACCCACTGGGGCAGATACAACGCTGGTTCTTGTGGCACGTGCCCCCGTTCTGACACACCATCAGTTCATTGTCGCAGATGTTGGCTGGAGGAAATGCAACACAATGCGATTTTACATTTACACACACAAGCGCCTTTCATGTAGGCAGAATAATAATGATAATAAAAATCGTTGCATTCGATACAGCGCCTCATCACATCGTTGAGAATTCTCAAAGTGGCTTCACAGGGTATACTGTAAAGTGGAGTGAGTGACTGTGTGTTTTGTGGGCTAAAACACGGTAGCCAACTGCGCACAGCAGTGTCTCACAAACAGTCTTGGGTTAAGTGACCAATTTATTATTTTTTTAAAGAGATTACCCCTGGAAAAGTGATCCACCAATCAACAAAAAACTGGGTTCCTATTTACTGCTGGGTAAACAGAGGCGTGTGGAGTAAGGAATAGAACCCAGGACCTCTCGCTTGAGAGGTGAGTGCTCTACCCACTAAGCTACAGGACCCCACCGCTCCCAATGCTATGTAACTTCCTCTCATGTCCTGAGCTGGTCGAGCTCTACAGAACGCGGAGGTCCTTTGAGACCAGCCCACGTGGAACTTTTTCTGAGTTATCCTAATCATCTGTGATTGTGGACAGGATTGTGTGATGGGAGCCATTGAAGCACATTCCTGGCTCCTGACACTGACATCAACCTCACTGTTCTGCCTTCCCCAGGACAATTGAGAAAGCTTGTTCCTTTATCACAGACTAAAATAAAATCTCCTCGGGGGGGGGGGTCGTTGCTGGTGGGAGAGGTCAGACCCCTGGTAGCCTTTCTCTGTGGGGGTGAGTTCCTATTTGGGAACAATTTAGTCATTCTCTCTCCAAATGGGAGATTTTCCATTCCCTCCCCCTCAGTGACGGTCTGCCCACCACTCCCTGGGGAGATACTTACGGAAACAGCCCTGTCTCCAGTAGTATCCAGCCGCGCAATCCTCACACTTGAGGCCCGAGGCTCCCTCTTTGCACTCGCAGGCTCCTGTCTCGTTGCAGCGGTCGTGGATGGCTCCCAGTTGATTGCAGTTACATTCTGTAAAGGAGACGACCGCTTTTACCGTACACTCAAGGGGACAATGAGGCAGCCGAGCCTTGTCCCTGGCTCCAGTACAACTCGGTCCATAGAATCGAAGAATTATACACCACAGAAGGAGGCCATTCGGCCCATTGTGCCCGTGCCAGCTCTTTGAAAGAGCTATTCAAATTAATCCCAAATTAAGTCTATGTTTCGCAATGACTCTTTCTCTGCCCCAGTGTGATTGTGACTCTCGATGCTCTTTCACAATATGTTAAAATTGTTTTTAAAAATTCTTTTAATCCTACAGTGTCTCAGCACAGAAACTGACCGTCCAAGTCTGCGATGAAGTTTCTCTCCACAAACACGAGTTATAGAATGAAATCCCACTCTCCAGCTCCCCCCCCACTCCCAACACACACACATAAATACACACACAAACTCCTCTTGTTGAGGTAGCTATCAAGTTCCTCTTTAAAATAATTGGCGGACTCTGTCTTAACTAGAGAATTACCCATTCCAACCACCCTCACCACCTGGCCTTCAATTCCCTTTGTGATCACTTTGAACAGTTGCGGAGGTCAGATGTCCCGTAACGTGAAAGGACGAGAGTGGGGCTCGTGCACATGCCTTAACTGCGTGGGTACACACGCTTGACACTGTCGCACACGCAAGACCCACGTGTGCTCACTCGCTCACTGACCTATACACACGTTCTCGTCGTCGAGCTCGGCGGAGGCATTGCGGTAGTGCCCGAGACGGCAGTGCTGGCAGTGTTGACCCCGTGTGTTGTGTTTGCAGCTGACGCACGTCACGATGTTGAGGAATTCGATGTAACTGCACCGGTTGGAGTGGCCATAGCACTCGCAGTCTGCGGGGGTGGGGTGTGGAAACAGAAGATGTTAGTTAGTCCATAAACAGGAGCTCAGCGCTGTGACCGTCCAAGCCAGGGAAACTCCTCAAGGGGAAGCCACTTTAGCGTGAGTTAAAGGGATTTTTGATTTTTTCTTTTGTAAAAGCGATTGATGTGAAGAGCTTTGGACGTCTCAACGACGTGTTATGACGCTGCAAAGCACAAGGATTATTCTTTCTCTCATTCATTCTAGGCAAAGCTTAGAAATCGAGGCAAGAGTTTTAATTTTTCGACTCGTCGTAAATTGTCAACTCGTCTTTTACGTAAGGTTTTGGGTAAAACTAACGGGGAGTTGTGAGAACAGTGTGTGTGGGGTGGGGGGAGAAGACCATTGATATTAGGAAAGATAAAAGGTAATGAGTGAGAGAAATGATTGATGAAATGGGGGAGGCAAAAAAAATGACATCGAACGGTAAATTATTCCGATCTGAATTTTTCCATAGATCCCATAATCGTGTTTAGATCCATAAGGAATCAGTACTTGTGTACGAGTACAGTTCGTGTGAATAGAACAACAACAACAACTTGCATTTATATAGCACCCTTCACGCGGGGTAGTGTCCCAGAGCACTCGACAGTAGCGGAGTCTGATCCCGTGCCGGGGGGAGGGAGAGGGAGGGAGGAGGTGACTGTAAGCACGATCAAAAATAAGGTCTTTAGGCAGGATTTGAAAGTGGGGAGGGGATGGGGGGGGGGGGGCAAGGCGGAGGGATTGAGGGAGAGAGTGACAAGAGTTTTGAGGAGTAGTGGATGAAGGCATGGCCACTACGGGTAAAAGTAACGCCTCTTATTGTCGTCTGAATAAATCAGGTCACAGTCTGAACGCCATTGGCAGTCGGGCCTTCAGCCACTCTGCCCCCACCCTTTGAAACTCCATCCCATAGTCCCTTCGCCTCGCCCCCTCCCTTGCCTCCTTCAAGGCCTATCTCAAGACCTTCAGACACTCTTCTACCCCCACCCTCCCCAGCTCAGGCTTAGATTCCTTGATTGTTCTGTGCTTTGGGACGTCCTCCCAACGTGAAAGTTGCTGTGTAAATGTAATGTGTTGTTGTTCAATGCTGCCCTGTGCTCTTACTGACGTGGGAGGGCTGCGTACAATTACCCTCAGCACCACCTGGGTTAGAGAGAAGGAAAACCAGCACAGGTTCCATCCCATTACTATGTGTTAGCAGGATCAGGTTGTGTTTTACTCCCCAAAAACCCAACTGCTATCTATCCATCCGCCACACCCTGCGCCTCTACACGTTCAGTCTGACAACCTCCTACCTTTGGTCTTCACGAAGCCTCGTCTTGACATGGAACTCGGTTGCCACCCGAGGGGTTTGGACATTGTTCCTGGCGCTTGCGGGAAAAAAATGTCAAAAAATTTCCCGGTGCTTTAGGTTGTTTCAGACACTCTACACTGTGTGTAAATAACCTCCCAGCCACAGCTCATCACGAGAAAACCTCACTGCCCAACTCGAGTCATCCTGCACTGAGTTTAATAGTTCTTAATGAGATAACAAGGTCACTGAGTACAATTACTGCTAGGTTTAAGGATTGAGCAAATCCTCTAGAAACCCGAATACTAGTGAGAAAAAGCACTGTGTAATATTATGCAGCAATCAAAATCTGGTTGATTCCTTTGTTGGGGCTACGTCAGGCTATCCCAACTAGGCAGGAGGTACATCAATGGGAATGTAGGAACACAAGAAGCCCATTGGGTCCGTGGATCCTGCTCCACCACAAACTATTCCGTACAACTACCCTGTCTACCTCTCCTCCAATATCCTGCAAATGGTCTACTCATTTTTCATCCATCCCTTGATCGGTTTCGGACCTGGAGCTTTTTAGGACACTGCATCTCAAAATTGAGTCTGTCACTATGAGAGGAAACTAATCTTTGTCTCAGCCCTAACTCTCCTTTGCTCTAATCCAAAAGTTATTTAGTCTGGTCACCGATTAGTGCAATTAGTGTCCCCTGGCCTATAATCATAGAATTTTACAACACAGAAGGAGGCCATTTGACCCATCGTGCCTGTAACGGCTCTTTGAAAGAGCTACTAACTAGTCCCACTCCCCTGTCATATCCCATAGCCCTGCAAATCCTCTAGATAAATTAGCCACTCACTCACTCATTTCTGAGTCGCAACTTGGCTAATGCAGATACACTGTCACGACATTTGGCAGTAATTACTGTTGAACATTGGGGTATTTTGACGCAACAAGGAAAATACCTCTTGTGTTCTTCTTGGCCTCTTTTCCACCAGAGGGTGCTTCATCCCCTGAACTTGCTTTCCGAATTGGAACATCTGCACATCAGAAACCGCGTCAGGAGCATTGTCGAGACGTTCCCAGCCGGCTTCCAGCTGGAAGTGAGAGCGCTCTCCGCTCCACTCAAGTGTACACTCGCTAGCACACTGTTAAGTGTAACATTTCAATCTCAAAGCCAATGATATTTCTTTCCCAGAGCTCAGCTCAGACCCGGTCTTGCACTGCCTTGGACCAAAACTTACAAAGCCCCGCAGAGCAGAAGGGCGCAGAATCTGCTCCTTCACCGAGCTGAGCCGCTGTTTAACGCTATGTACATGCAAATTGTCATTGCTGTATATAAGGTGCGAGTCTTTGCATTGGAGGGAATTCTACAAGTTGGAACCTCTGCTGACTTCACACACTGAGCAGACACAGGGCAAAATTCACTGTTGTTGTTGTTGTTGTTATCAGCTTCCCAAATTTTAAGCTGTTTATAATAATAATATAATTCTTGCATTTGATACAGTGCCTTATCACATCGTTGAGACGTCTCAAAGCGCTTCACAGGATACACTGTAAAGTGAACTGACAGTGTATTCTGTGGGCGAAATATACACTAGTTGATCAAAATGCATGGAAGCAATAGCTTATTATTCATGACCTTCTGCAGTCTATCCCTCTGTAAATGCCAGGAGCTGTCATCAACAGCCCCGATAAGATCAACACAAGCCAGGCATTATCCTGTTTGCATTCCTCGTAAAGTTGTCAGAATGTTGGGTCCTGCCAGAGAGTAACCCAGGGAGCCACACTGCAGTGTGTGTCTGACCAAAGCTTGACTTGATACCGAAATGGTTTGTTTCCCTTTCAGAAATAATAATAATGATAAAAATAATGGTTGCCCTTCATATCCAAAGGTGACCGTTCAGACAATGTGAAGACCTGGGTGTGTGAATTTGTTTACAGTGTAGAAGCTGCTGTCCACACAGCACTTATACTCTTTGGCAGCAAACACTGTAAATCGATATCAAGGAATATCCGAGAAAAACAGACCACTCGCTAACCGCACTGGCAGAAACCATTAGCCCCGGAAAACAATCCACAAATCGACTAACAACCGGGTTCCAACTTACTGCTGGGTGAACAGAGGCGTGCGGAGTAAGGAAACTTGCCTAAGGTTTTCCCCACCCAGGAATCAAACCAAGGTCCTCTCACTTGCGAGGCGAGTGCTCTAACCACTGCACTCTGGGACTCCTGAGCACAATATTTGATTAGCAACAGCACCTCCAACCCTCCTCTCCTCCCCCTGCTTTGGACACAAGAGCTTCAGTCTCTGCTCTTCATGTGTTATAATAATAATCTTTGCATTTGATACAGCACCTTATCACGTCTTCGAGACGTCTCAAAGCGCTTCGCAGGATATACCAACAAGTGTATTAAGTGTGTATCTTTGTGAGAGTTCCGGGGGATGTGTTACGTCCCTGGGGTGTGCACTATGCAGGAGCAGACAGGTGATTAAATCACACAGTATAGGTCGGGCCGGTGATAAATGAACCCGCTCTCTCTCTGCTTCCAATGTTGCTGCTGTGCACCAAGTGGCCATTTCTGCCGTGAAATGCAGACAGAGAGTCGATCACAGGCCCCGAGGCCAAAGCACCAAAAGCATCTTTGTCTTTTAAAAAAAGGACAAATTGAAATAGAAAACGGTCTTACAGGCTAAGACCAGGTGGAATTTGAGGCCGGCAGTTTGCAGGAGGCAGTGGATGAGTGAGAGATCCAGGAATTCAGGTCAGAATGAAACAGAAAATACAAGAGGAGGTGATTTGAGAACTCATTTGATGGACTCACAGCTTCTGACTGCGTCCAGTGGTTGGTCTCATTGTATTTTGGACAAAATTCCTTTTTTTTGCAATAATGTTGGAATAAGGAAAGTTACCTAAGGAACACTCTTTTTCTCCCCACTGAACCATCCCGTGGGAATTAATTCCAATGCAATGACTCACTATTATACATGGTAACAACGATTTGCACTTGCCTAGCGCTAAACAAGGTAGTTTGACATGACACACATTTCACGGAGGCGAACATCTCAAAGAGCTTTAATCAAACGGAGTAGAATTAAATGGAGAATTTGTGTCTTTTTTCAAAAAAAATCTGCCTTCACAGGAGTATTAAACACACGGCTTAATCCTATATTCCAGTTGCAAATGACAACAATTCACTGTGGTCTGATGTGCTAAAGCACCATATAATAATAATATGGTGGCTCATCACATCAGATTTTGCGCCTCATCACGTCAAAGCGCTTCACAGAATACACTGTAAAGTGAAATGACTGTATATTTTTTGGGCGAAACGGGACACAGGAACATAGGAAAGGCCATTCAGCCCCTTGAGCCTGTTCCACCATCCTATTAGATCATGGTTGATCTGTACATCAACTCCTATCAAACGCAAAGATTAATATTATTATTATTGCAGAGCATGAGATTTAATGGAAGGCCTTTGGGTGAAGGGCTCAGGCTGAAGATGGAATGATGGATCTGTATCTGAAACACTGATCAGGCCCCAGCTCACTCTATTTCTTGCTCACGAACAGATCACCACTTGCAGAAGTATTTAGGGGAATTAGTTTGACGGGAAATGACTTGCGATAGTATTCTCCTTGCAGTACACATCCCTGCCATTCCTGTTTTAATAATAATAATAATAATCCTTGCATTTGATATAGCGCTTTTCACGTCGGGAGGACGTCCCAAAGCGCTTCACAGAACATACTGTAAAGTGAATTGATTGTATATTTGTGGGCGAATGCGGCAGCCAATTGCGCACAGCAATGTCCCACAAACAGTCGTAGATTGAAAATGAAAACAATTTATTATTGTTTTGGAGGGATTATTATTAGGCTCTGTGTGGAGTAAGGAAACTTGCCCAAGATTTCGCCCTCTGCCTGGAATTGAACTCGGGTCTCTCACTTGCAAAGCGAGTGCTCTAACCACTGAGCTACAGGACTCCACGATTTTACAATAGTTTTACAATAGTTACTTACAAATTCATTCACATATTCAGCCAGACGGCTGCATATTATAATAACAACAATCTTTGCCTTATCACGTCATTGAGACATCTCAAAGCGCTTCACAGAATATACTGTAAAGTGAATTGACTGTGTACTTGTGGATGAAACGCGACGGCCAATTGTTGTGCAGCAGTTGCCCACAAACAGCCATGGACTGAGTGACCAAATAATATCTTTTTTTTGAAGGGATTAATACCTCGGAAAGCGTTCCACCAATCAACCAACAACCGGGTTCCAACTTACCGCTAGGTAATTAGAGACTTGTGTGTGTGTGTGTGTGTGTGTGGAGTAAGGAAACTTGCCTGGAGTAAGGAACCCGGGTGCTCTCGCTTGCGAGGCGAGTGAGCTAACCACTACGCTATGGGACTTCCCCAATACCTGCTTAAGTCAAAAACCCAGGTAAATATTGAAAACGTGTGCCGTCAGCTGCGGTGCCTGTTTTAGGATTTGAAACATAAGGTAATCTGCAGCAGCTGCGAGGGAAATGGTTCCTCATTATAAGAGGCGGGTGGCACAGTCCAGAGAGACGTTAGTGTTGGCAGCCGGGGCACAGAGCTCCGAGAGACAATGAGGCAATGGATTAATTTGTCAATGAGCTGGTCCCCGGAGACCGCCAGCTGCCTGTCCTGAATCCACTCCCCTCATTACTCAGAGTGCGACTCTGACCTTCCTGTGTCGCTACATCAGTGCAGATCATTCAACAAACGAGCACAAACAGTCTCCCCAGGTAGAATCCTCTACAGTAGATAAAGCGAGAGAGACAGAAAAGTGGGATTGAGTTCACAGACAAGCGGCCCTGGGAATGAAAGGACTGGTGTCTTATTGTTGGCTTTAACAACCGTGAGTATTAGAAGTTCTGTAGAAGTGATGCTCGGAGCAGGAAATGTTCTAGATACGCTCAAGGCTCTGGGAAGGATTGATTTTGCACAGTTTAATGGGAGCTTTAAGCAGCGTCTTGACAACAGGTACCCGTGTCCTTGTCAGACACTGAGCGCACACACCAGTTGTTGCACCAGCCAGTGAGCGAGTGCCAAAGGCTGGATAAACAAAGGTTTTTCATTATGGCTGGAGCTATTGAAGGGATTCGGGGCTCGTGTAGAGTATAAACACCAGCACGGAACTGTTTGGGCCAAATGGCCTGTTTCCAGCCCATATGTAACTAAATATACAGTCAATTCACTTTACAGTTGATTCTGTGAAGCGCTTTGAGACGTCTTGAAGACATCTATCAAATGCAAGGATTATTAGTATTATTATTTAACTGTCTGACACGAGACTTTCTACAGTGATTTCAGATGTTAACAGAATTGAGAAAGTAAACCCAGCCCCACGCTTTCCGATTAATTTTCCTTTTGTTAGTGGAGGTTGTGGGCTAACAGTGTCTCATATTGTCGATTTTTCTGAGGTCACCCCTGTATGGCATATCACACACAAAATACAGTCACTCCACTTTAGAGTATAATAAGGGAAGCGCTTTGAGACGTTTCAACGGCGTGATAAGGCGATATATCAAATGCAAGAGTTATTATTATAGCTAACATTTCTCCAAATAAATTGGTCATTCCCTTTGTGAACCTTACCATGTGCAAACTCGCTGCCCTGTTCACCTCGAAAACATAGTCATTACACTTGACAGCAATGCCCCATAAAACACTTTGAGATGTTTTAACACTGTGTAGTTTCTACATCAAATGGAAGGATTAATTATAAACAGCGATATTGTTCAGACCCTGGAAACACTCTGTCTAGACTGTAGATCTGGGGAGCAAAGGTTTGACTTAACTATCATCTGAAACGAAAATAAATCTCACGCATGTTATGGTTTTTTAGACTTTCATTTTCCAAAGTTTCTTAACGAGTGTTCACTTGAGTTGAAGCTGTTGAACGTCAGTGACAGATTTCTAGATACGCAATACTAGAGCAAACATTCTATGTTACTGTTTGGTTAGGGATCTAACCATTAGTTGTAGAGACAATAGTCAAAGCACTAGTCCAAGTACTAGTCAGCTAATCAATGTACTAAACAACTCAGTAGACAAAGCACTAGTAAACCAGTGGATGCACCAGTTAGTGAGTGAACGCCAGTTGTGTTATAAACTCACTTTTCTTGACTCCTGGCTTTGATGTTGGGTTACGTCCTCCTTGTGAGGAAGCACTGAATTATTACTGAGGCACAGCTCCACGCAATGCACTTGTGTATGTGGGGGGCGGGCGGGAGGGGGGAGGGAGTGTGTGTTGGTGTCTGAGTGTGTGTGGGGGGGATGTGTGTGAGTATCTGTGGAGGGATGGGTGTGTGTGTGATCTTAGCTTCTACCAATGATCACAGCTACACTTTTGCTCCACACTTACCCTTTTTGACTTCACGCTCAGCGATTGGGACAGGCTCTTCAACGAGAAATATGGTACACAATGTGAGGTTGGTTTCCATAGTCCACTAATATCTCATCCACGCGCACACTCTTACCCCATCCACCCACAACCTTATCCCATCCACACACACCCTTACCCCATCCACACACACCTTTACCCATCCACACACACCCTTACCCCATCCACACACACATCTTTACCCCATCCACACACATCCTTACGCCATCCACACACACATCTTTACCCCATCCACACACATCCTTACCCCATCCACACACATCTTTACCCCATCCACTCACACCTTTACCTCATCCACACACACCTTTACCCCATCCACACACACACACTGTTATCGCAGTTATTAGTGCTAAACATATACTCACGGAAGAGTAACTATTACTATTCAAGTGATTCATATCACAATCTGTTGCTACCGGTGACTAGAGCTATAACTAGCTGGAGGTTTGTAACTAGTAACCGGTTGTAATTATTAATTTACGCTAATGCTGAATACAACGGGTTAAAGCAATAATGCGTACTGCAGGACAGTGTTGGTTACTAACTATTCTAACCACAAATCTATGTCAGTAACTAGCGCAACTAACTTACCCTTCTTCACTTTGCGATCAAGTAGCGGGCCCGGTTTCCCTTATAATAAAACATTGAGTTGTCAACAATCTCGAGCAGAAAGTTTGAGAAACATTTTGACTGGAAGCTGTTGCACTTTGTGGATCATATTGTTAACTAAAGTTGCAGGAAATATATTGTACTGCATCTTATAACACAATATTAAGCGCTCCGAGACACCGTCAGGTGTGAAGGACGTTATACAAATGCAAGTTGTTGCTGTTGTTGACATACGTTTATATAGAGTCCTTCACGTAAGGTAACGTACTGCAATAGTTACATTAGGTGTTACATGCCACTAACACCACAGGGAAGATCTTGAACAGGTTTGTCTTGCTAATAGCACTGCGGTAACCCAGCCACAGGAGCAAAACCCTCTAAGCAGCAAGTACATAGAATTATTCATCATAATAATACATGCATTTGACATAGCACCTTATCACTTAATTGAGACGTCTCAAAATACACGGTCGATCTACTGTACAGTATATTCTGTGAAGCGCTTTGAGACGTCTCTACGATATGATAAGGCGCTGTATCAAATACAAGGATTATTGTTATTATTCGTATTATCATTACCCCTTTCCTAAAGCGCTATATTCCCTTGCACTATACTTCTGCTCGCAAGGTTTTTCTTAAAACACATTGCTGCTTTTTGTTTCAATCAGAGCTATGTGTTGCAGTGCACCAAGTCCGAGCCCGTAGCTAATAAGTGACAAGATGCTGAGTATTATAATATGGGTCTGGAATTCAAATGCAAGGAAATGCTGTTATAGTTGTATAAAGAGCATGGGTCAGTCAGACCTCATTAATATTGATCTTTTTCCCGCTGTTAGCCAGATTTTTGGGAACTTTGTCACGGGAGAGAGAGAGATGCAGACAGATAGACGCTCAGTGAATGATTCCTAATTACAGGTAACCAGTTCGCATTTGACAGCGATTGAATCATTTCCAATGACATCTAAATGGGGATCAATAGATCTAAAACCAATTTAAAGTGGCTTCATTTCACAGGTGGTTCAAGATCTTTACACCCCTCCTCTCTCCCTTCCCCCACTCTCCCCATCTCTCTGTCCCCCCTCTCTTTGTCACTCCATCTCCCCCCACCCCACCATCTCTCCCCACCCCATCATCTCTCCCCACCCCATCTCTCCCCCCCCCATTCTCTCTCCCCCCACCACGCTCCCCCCCACCACCACCCACATGTTGTGCCTGTTACGCACTCACCCTTCGCTTTTCGCTCTGGTTTCGAGGCTGGTTCTTGTGTAAGGTAAGGTAAGAGGAAACCGTCAATTTCAATGCAGATTTGTTTATATATACAGTCATTTAAACAAAGACATTTGTGTATTTTGCAGCAAAGATGCAATTATGAATTTGTCCAATTGCAATCTTCCCTGTCTCTTACAGCGCTGTGTAACATGTCGGTAAATGACCAAATGACCCGTAAAATGACATTAAGGTGGGAAGGGAATTAATGTTCCATTAACAAGCTGTCGCGGTTTGCAATTACAAGGTGTTAAAGGGCAGTAGTCTGGGAGACGTCAAAGGGAGATTTGAGCCCGACGTCTTTGAAAGGGAGGTTGACGGCTAAAAACTCGACAATATGCTTTTGTTTATAGCCTTGGAACAGCGTTAATACAATTCATCTGCCCTCTTCTCTCTCTCTCGCTCTCTCTCTCTCTCTCTTTCTCGTGTTGAATAAGACTTGAATCATTTTCATAAACTGACAGAAACAACTGCATAGCTGAACTGGAATCAGACTTTTTCTCACTATATTGTAGTTCAGATTGTTTTGTGTGCATTGTTACCCTGCGTGGGAGATCTCTAGGTCAGTCTGTGAGGTGTATTTGTAAATTTTAACACTGGGACCTGCTGTCTGTGTCTGCGTGTGTGTGTGTGTGCCTTCTTCCATCTCCGCCACATTGCCCGCCTCCATCCATACCTTTCCCCAAATGCAGCTGAAACCCGCGTGAATGCGTTTGAATTACTCCAACGCACTTCTCACCGGTCTCACCAGCTCCACCATTCACAAGATCCAGCTCATTCAAAACTCTGCCGCCCACGTACTGACCCGAAGCAAACTCCGTCCCCACATCTCATTCAGTTCTGGCCCAGGTTCCACTGGCTCCCCATCACCCAACGGATCGACTTCAAGATCCTCTCACACTCGTGTTCAAATCCATTCACTCTCTGGCACCTCCCTACCTCTCTGTCCTCCTCACTCCCCAATCGACCACCCGGCACCTCCGCTCGACTGGCACCGGCTCCTACTCATCCCCCGCACTCTCCGCCCCGCCATCGGAGGTCGCGCTTTCAGCCATTACCCCCCAAAACTCTGGAACACTCTCCCTCAATCCCTTCACCTTGCCCCCTCTCTCCCCTTTTTCAAGTTCCGCCTGAAGACCTTCCCCTTCGACCATGCTTACGGCCACCGTCCCCCACCCCGGCTCGGAGTCAGGCTCCGCCACTGTTAAGTGATCTGAGACGCTATCCTCATGCAGGGCTCTGTGTTAGTGCAAGTTGTTGTTGTTGTGTGAGTGTATGTGTGTGGATGTCTGAATCACTTGTGGTATCTCCCAGTTAGCTGCAAGACATTAGCGAAGTAGAGACATCAATAATTGGGCAGGAAGGGGGACATTCAAGTTCAGGGAAAAAAATCAGCCCCTGGAAACATTTAAATCAACCTTTTTTTTACACAGAAAAAAATGTTCTTACAGATTCCAATTGTTTAGATTCTAGACTCGAATAAACAGGCTCTGTTTTCCCTTCTCTTATATTTATTGTATTTATATTTCTTGACTTTCACACAAATCCCGAGTCTGTGCAGCCCTCGGGGGGACTGGAGACTTCAGACACTCTCTCTTTCTCTCTCTCGCGCTGAACAGCTGCAGACAAACTCTTAAGAGGAAGCAAGGAGCATCTTACTATGAAATCTAAATTATGTATTCACTGTTTAATTAATGCAGAATGAATATGCACAGAGTTCAAGTTACAGGATCTCTAGAGATGGTCACCAGACTCAAGCGCTCTGTGACGCTACCCTGCATGAAGGGGCGCTACATAAATGCAAGTTGTTGTTGATGGTACTATTTGCCAGGGTTGGTTAGTCTGTGACAGTGGGGCTTAACATGTGCTGAACAGGTCAGGCAGGAGCTGACCCTATCCCTGGACCTGCCAGCAGTCTAAAAATTAGCACGTAATTGCAATGAAGTGGAAGTGTGGCTGATGGGATGGGAGGGGTGGGGGTGGCTGGTTGCCAGGGCTCCTGCTTGTACGAACTCTTTTTGACTTGAATTCCAGAAACATCCACTGCGTGAAGTATGTGAGTGCGAGAGCCTCTGCTAGCCAGCCGTGCTGCCCTTCGTTTGGTGGCAGTTTGTGGCAAGGGTAATGGGTGACTGACTGTGGGGCAGCCGTCGACATTTACTTCACGTAGAGACAGAGCTTTAGCTGAATGGGAATCTCTCCCTCTATTCAACACAGGGCAGGAAATCTGGCAGGACTCCAGACTATGATGAGGATGTGAGCAGATGGCTCTGTTTTATTGCAAGATCTTTAGTTAAAGTGGATCCTCACTCCGCATTCCACCACCCGGCGCCTCTGCTCGACCGACACTGGCCTCCTTCTCGTCCCTCGTGCCCTCCACTCCACCGTCCGAGGTCGCGCATTCAGCCACTACGCCCCGAAACTCTGGAACACTCTCGCTCAGTCACTCCGCCTTGCCCCCTCTCTCCCCTTTTCCAAGTCCCGCCTGAAGACCTTCCTTTTTGACCATGCTTACGGCCACCTCTTCCTTCCCCCCCCACCTCCACCCCACCATTTCCATGTGGAGGGATGCATCAAATTCTCAGTTGGGTTTGGATACTCTTAAGCACGGTGATGGATTTCCGCACGTGTCAGATACCCAGCTGATCAATCAAAAAAAAATGTCAATGTAGAAACACGAGCCCTGCCTCTGTTCCTGTATGTTTGGTTATGACAGTGTGATAGAGAGCTCTGAACGCTCTGGGACTCTACACTGCGTGAGGGCTATATAATAATCATAATAATAATGATGATCCTTGCATTTGATATAGCACCTTATCATGTTGTTGAGACATCTCAAAGAGTTTCACAGAATATATTGTAAAGTGAATTGACTGTGTATTTTGTAGGCGAAATGTGGTAGCCAATTGCACACAGGAGTGTCCCACAAACTGTCGTGCATTGAGTGATCAAATGATTCTTATTATTTATTTTATTTTTGGAAGCAACAATTACCCCCTGGAAAAGCGATCCGCCAATTGACTAACAACCGGGTTCCTATTTACTGCTGGGTAAACAGAGGCGTGTGGAGTAAGGAAACTTGCCCAACGTTTCATCCCGACCGGAAATTGAACCCGGGTCCTCTCGCTTGCGAGGCAAGTGCTCTAACCACTAAGCTACAGGACTCCTATGTAAATGCAAGTTGTCGTTACGTTACCTGGTGCTTTCTGTGGCTTCTGTGAGGAGACGACTGGGGGTGGGATTGCTGCTTGGGACTTTTGAACAGCTGCATGCGTACAAAACAGAGCAAGTCTTTAAGCTGTGCATCTGCCTGCTCAGATCAGCATCTCTCCTACTGACGTACAGTCTGACAATTACACTTGTACAGTAACAGGGATTTCAAATCCATAGTTTGTTCCCTGTACAGAAACACATTTTCGTCACAGATATTTGGCTCGTCACATCTCTGCTGCTGCTACAAGTTATTTTATATACTGTAAAATGCAAACTCCCGCAGATGCTAGAAATCAGAAACAAAAACAGAAGTCGCTGGGAACACTCAGCAGGTCAGGCAGCATCTATGGAGAAAGGAAAGTGACTCAACGTTTCGGTTGTACGACCCTTCGTCAGAACTCAAAGGGCCTTTCCTTTCTCCATCGATGCTGCCTGACCTGCTGAGTGTTCCCAGCGACTACTGTTTTTATTTTATATACTGTGTTGTGTGTGAATCCCAAACATTATATATTGCACCTTAAGGAAACAAGATTCACAGGAGCGAGTCAGGTTACCAGGCCTGGACCAACCTTCCTGGTGACACACTGAGTTTACTGCTGCTTTCTCTCCCCTCTTTCCCCCCCATGTACAGTAGGTATCGAGGTTTCTCTTAAATACATTGATACCTTTTGCTTCAACCACAGCTATCGGCAAATGAGCTCCATAATCATCACCACCCTCTATGTAATCAGATTTCTCCTATACTCCCATTTAGATCTATTACCACTGTAGCTACCTTAGATTGAGACTGACCAACCAATGCATTTTGTATCATTTCTTTTCCCACCCGGACGCTTGCTTTCCGGCTGAGGGAGAAAGGTGGGCTGAGGACAAGTAGGAACAAACTGAAATGGACGACTATTCCAAGACATTCTCCGGTGCTCTGATGTTCTGGATCAGCCAGCAACATGGCTGCTAGAACCTCTCTCCCTATCTAACTCTCTCCCTATCTAACTCTCTCTGTCTATCTCTCTCATGTCTCTATCTATCTCTAATCTCTCTCTATCTCTCACTCGAGTGGCTCTGATAACTGACTGCTTTTACTAAACATGTGTATTATAGAATCACAGCAGGAGACCATTCGGCCCATTGTGCCTGTGCCGGCTCTTTGAAAGAGCTGTCCAACTAGTCCCCCTCCCCCTGTGCAAACTATGGAAAAATGTCAGACCGGGTTTAATTGTCACAAATAAATCACGTGCATGCAAACAAACCAACCAACCAACCAACCAACCAACGGTGGGAAAACCCAGATGTGAGCTTGTAAAAGAAGGTTTTAAAATAAATGGTGATGAGAGAAAGGGTGGGGGGAGAGAGAGAGAGAGAAGGGGGGCAGGCAGACGACTTTCCCCATTGTACTTACTGCCATAGGCGGAACTAACGGCTGCACCTGAAAGGGAATGGGAAATGGAGGTTAGCCATGTCCAGCCAGTGATGGTTGGCACCAGTTAAGAGTTCACTTAATGGAGACCCCACCCTGTATTTCACGATATTCTTGGCCTCGAATAGACTTCCAGGGATTTCAGTCTCCTTCAAGGCCCGTCTCAAGATCCTCCTCTTTGACCGTGACTTCAGGCACACTCCTCTCCCTACCCTCCCTGCCTCCCCCCCTCCTGATCCCAACCTCCAGCTTGGGTCCAAATCCCTTAAGCGCCTTGGGACGTCCTCTCGACGTGGAAGCTGCTGTACCAATGTCATTTGTCATTGTTTCTTGTGCTCTTGGGAGACGGGGAAATGAGTCATGTTCCCCTGGTGGGAGGAGGCGGTGGGGGGTGGGATTGATACTCCAGGACTGGCAAACACAAACCCTGTTCCCGGGAGCTCTCAATAAGCATAGAAACAGGAGGAGGCCAATCAGTCCCTCGAGCCTGCTCTGCCATTCTATAAGATCATGACTGATCTGTACCTCAACTCCAATTACCCGCCCTTGCCCCATATGCCTTAATACCCTGACCTAGCAAACATCTAAGGCCCATCTCAAGATCTTCCCCTTCCCTTCCACCCCCACCTTCCCTGTCAGAGGGTGAAGCACGGTGACGGGGTCCAGACCCCGGCTGAGCAAGCACTGCTCAGTGTGAGTGCGTGTCGTTACATACAGCTGTTGGGTGTGCCGATCGGGTAGGGGTGGTAGCTCCCAGGACGCCACGACTTGGCCCGGTAATTCTTCTTGCATTTGCCGCAGTCCTGCCCAGTCGTGTTGTGCTCACACTCGCACATCAGGCTGCCTTCCTTGTAGCTGCAGCTGTTTGCGTGCATGTTGCATTTACATCTGGAACAAAGTAGGCGGAGAGAAAGAGAGAGGGTGAGCGACGGAGTCTGATTTATTTCTCTGCAAACACATGCCTGGCCGGGAGCCTCAGTACTTGCACAGCGTTGAGTAATGTGGATGTGTTTAGTGCTGTCTCTTGAGGCCTTGGGCTGGCACAGGGAACACACATGATAAGGCGTTACATCAAATACAAGATTATTATATATTATTATTATTATAATGAATGTGCAGCTAGTGCTCTATGGGAGCTATTATAACAATAATAATCCTCGCATTTGATACAGGGCCTTATCACGTCTTCGAGACGTCTCAAAGCTCTTCACAGGATACGCTGTAAAGTGGAGTGACTGTGTATTTTGTAAGCGAAATGCAGCAGCCAATTCATCTGCTGAAGTTGCAAATCCTGCCCAGCCAAGACACCGCAAATACAAAAATCATCCCTTTTCAGATTCCTTCAGAGAGAAAGAGGAGAGGCAGGCTGGCGGGGAGGGCGAGTTGTATTATTTGTCTTCACAGATGTATCCAATTCCCTCTGAGATGCTATTAAGTCTTAACTTCAACAGCCACTTGTGGTGAAGCAGCCCCAGGAACGATGATACAAGAGCTACTCCAGACAGTTCCCCAGTAACATTATCCAGTTATTGATGGCACTGACTTCAGTGCCTCTCGCCTCTGAATCAGAAGGCTGAACGTGCGGATTCAAGTCAGCCCCACGTCGGGGACTTGAACTCGCATAGTCCAGGCTATCGCTCCAGTGCAGCGCTGGGGACGTGCTGCATTGTTGGGAGTTGGTGTGTTTCAGATGAGAAGTTAAACTCTCGGCCTGTTCAAGAGGATGTTAAAGAGCCCATGGCACTATAATAATAATAATAATAATCCTTGCATTTGATATAGCGCTTTTCATCACTACTCAGTGTCCCAGCCAACAATTTTACCCCCACCCACCAACCACCCCCCGCTCAAAAAAAATAAAATGTCAATTTTTTTTAAAATTCTGGGCTCCCGCATTCGCCTATAAAATACACAGTCACTCCACTTCACAAGAAATCCTGTAAAGCGCTGTGAGACATCCTGCTGACCATGAAAGGTACTGTATCAAGTACAAGGATTTATCATTATTATTATTATATCTTCTCCTCCCCACGCGCACGCACACACACACATGCCCTGCATTGTGAAATTGAATGCAGCTTTGAATGCCTCTCCAACTGAATGGAAAAAGTGAGTGAGAGAAGCTGGGGATCTTGGAAGCAGCGACCACAGCCGGGAGCGGGCGAGGGGAGACAATAATAAAGCCAAAACCAGAGAGGGGGGGGGGGAAATGGAGGGCGAGAGAGAGATGGAGAGAAAGCAGAGCTGAGAGTCCGTACACTTGTCAGCCCGAACTCCGGGCAACATTCTTGATTCTCTCACATCGATCCTGGCTGCTTCCCGGCCCTGCGCAGGACATGGCAGCAAAGGCATCCTGCTAATGACTGCGGTCTTGTGTTGGCTTGAGTGTGATGCCAGGAGATCAGTGCGTGGCCGTAATATCTCCCTTGTTGCAGTGAGCGCTGCACAGTGAAGCCCTCCCACACCCCCTCGAGACCCTGAATTACTTTGTAGGAACAGATTGTTGCTCTTTATGGAGCCCGCCTCCCGGATATTCAAATCATGCACCTGAGCCCCTCTACATTCCTATTAATATCAGACAATCATTCTGCAATCTGCTTATGCTGAATAATGCCGTTGATCTCTTGGGATCATTGGACTTATTGAATTGAGATGCCATCTGCTGCCTTCCTTGGATCAATCTTTGGTGTGAGAGAGAGAGAGAGAGAGAGAGACGTCAGTGAACAGGAACAGGAGACAACCATCTAGCCTGCAGAACCCATTAGTCGGTTTTTTAGATGATCGTAATATCTTCGAATCCTCTTTCCCTCCCGTTTAAACATGGCCATGCTCGGCACTGTCGTGCTCCGCCACTGTCAAGCGCTCTGGGACGCTATCCTGGGTGAGGGGTGCTGCGAAAATGCAGGTGTTGGTTGTTGTTGTTGTACCGTTCGTTTCTGCTCTGTGTCGCACACGGGGCCTTTCTTCATTCTCACTGTCCCCACGTTGAAATGCACTCGCTATTCCGCTGCACGTTCCTCTGCACGTACTGAGCACTTTATAATAATAATCCTTGCATTCGATATAGCGCCTTATCAATGCCGTTGAAACGTCTCAAAGCCCTTCACAGAATGTATTGCAAAGCGAATTGACTGCATATTTTGTGGGCGCCACGTGGCAGATAATTGCGCACAAACAGTCGTGAGCTGATTGACCAAATTGTATCCTTTTTTATTTATAATTGATGATAAAAAAATAATAATAGTTAATAATGAATAAGCTTTGCATCTGATGATATAATATAATAATAATATAATAATATATGATATAATATGATATAGCAGCTTGCTGTTTGGGGCAGGCTTCACAAGATTTACTGTACAGCGCAGTGACCGTGTATGCGCGATGGGGTCTGAATGAGTAGTGCTGGATGCTCTCGTGCATGTAACTAGCCCGGGTCCTCCTGAACTAATTCATTCCCATTGGCTCCTGCTGGTGAGGATGTGATGTGCTCCGAAATGGATTCGACCCATTTTCCAGCTGGTAAAGCACAGTACACTTGCTCTACACATCGCCCCTATTTATTATTGATGGTGTTTTTTCTCTCTCTCTAAGGGGAGACCCTTGGATGTTCTTTGCTGTTCTTGAATTTTTTGGAGGAGCTCAAACCCTCCGCCCTAACCCGAGCGACGAATCCTGCAATCCAGAGGCTTCATTTGGTACCGAGACTGGAGCGGGCAGGGGTGAGGGCGGGGGGAGAATGTGCCCAATAATAATAATTATGATAATAATAATAATCCTTGCATTTGATACAGCTCCTTATCATGTCGTTGAGACGTCTCAATGGCTTTTGCGGAACGCTGCTGTGTGCAAACTGGCTGCCGTGTTTCACCCACAAAATATACAGTCAATCCACTTTACAGTTTATGGTGTGAAGCGCTTAGAGATGTCTCGACGACGTGATAAGGTGCTTTATCAAATGCAAGGATTATTATTATTATATGAAGCTGAAGCGGAGAGCAGTGAGCGGGCCGGTGCTTTCCCCTGTCCCAGTGCTGAAATGCAATCGCTATTCCTCTGCACATTCTTGCTCGTTACAGGTGACCTACAGGTTACAGCTGAAATCTCTGGCCAGATCAGTTATTTATTTACTTATTGCTTTATTTCAATTCCAGTGTCCACTGGCTATATATAAATATGTATATACACACACGTACACAGGGTGACCAAAAGTTATGATATCTACCCTATTACCTTAAAAAAAACATTATTCTTTAAGACGTATTAGACATTGTAATGGTATCACGACTGTTTGATCACCCTGTATATACATTTATAGCCTGTGGACACTGGCTGCCAAGCTTCACGCATGAATAAAAGGCACTTGTGTAACCAGGTTACACTCCCAAGTTTTCCCCATAAGATTAACCTTGTAGTCTATTATTATTTTTTGCCAAACATTATTATATATAATAATAATAATCCTTGCACTTGATGTAGCACCTCATCACGTTGTTGCGACATCTCAAAGTGCTTCACCGAATGTACCGTAAACTCAATTGACTGTACATTTTGTGGGTGACATAAATGGTTGTGGATTGAGGGATTATGACCCCCGGAGAGCAATCTGAATTGACTAACAACCAGGTTCCTACTTACTGCTAGGCAAACAGAGGCGAGTGGAGTGAGAAAACTTGCCTAAGGTTTCGACCTGCCCGGGAATCGAACCCGGGTCCTCTTACTTGTGAGGCAAGTGCTCTAACCTCTATGCTACAGGACTCCAAATTCCCCATTGTTCCTGGATTTGTATCCCAAATGTTAGGATCTTACAGTAACACAGAGCTAGGATAACCCGGCAGATAGGCTGGGAGGCCACCCAGTGTGGAAGGTGCTAGTTCGAGTTGCAATAAATTTGTCAATAGGTTGTCAGTCATCCCCTGAGCACGGAGAAGGGAAAAAAGCACTTGCTAAATATATAACAAGGTTAGCTATTTTTATGTTATAAATGGCCAAATACCATTAACACTCCAAAAAGCTTTTGTGCATCAGTGCTATCATCTCACTGTATTGACCCAACGGTTTGGGAGTAATGGGTGGACAATTACAGTAGCGAATATCATCATCATGGGTTTCAACTATATCCGTTTATTGATAAAGTACAGAGTATAAACTAGTGGTGGTGTGATAACCCAAGGTTATAATCCGCATGTCATTGAGAAATGCAAGCTGTGTCTTTTGGAGTTCAATGCGAGAGTATCTGAAGCTTATTCATTGAGGAACTCTCTTGAAGGGTGTGACTTCCTTAAAATGGAATCCACACGCTGATAAAATTCTAGCAATATTGGGCTAGAAGGAAGCTATTTGATCTTCTGGTGCTCGCTCCCACCACACTGGAGCTCTCTACTCTAACCCCATTCCCCTGCTTGTTCCCAAACTCTTTAATAGTTTCAGCCTTCAAATATTTATCCAATTCCCTTTGAAATGTCATGATTGACTTGGCTTCAAAGGCCAGTTGCAGGAAATGCGTTCCACATCCTAATAATCTTAGTTAGGTTAAAAAAAATCCAACGTCCTCCATTACACTTTTAGTAATAATCTTGAATTAATTTTATTGAGTTGTTGCTCAATTCACGCACTAAGAGAGAGAAGTATTATTTATCCTCTCAAATTCCTTTGGAATTTTGAGCCTTTCCATTGCATTAGATCCCCTTGTAACCCCAAATCCCACTTAGTCTTAGGGTGTAAACCCACGTTATCTTAAAATGTAAGAAGGTGGGGGAAAAAAATCTTATTTTAAGTCTTCATTTTGGAAGATGATTTTCCGCAGTTCTTAAAAAAANTTCCAATTAAGATGCCATTTAAGATTCTTTTCTCATAATCCTGTGTCATCTTCGAAACTATTTTTATGACCACAGTTTTAAAGGCTAGGTGGTGTTATTTCATCACCCTCGCACCCCGAGTTTCAGAAACGGAGCAAATTGAGGGACAAATTGTTAGGCCAGTGGAAGAACCACTACAATAGTGTTCAGTCAGTCATTATCTTTGTAACACAATTCCCTTCGATTATCAGCTTCCTGTCAGTGTGTGTGTGTGTCTGTTTGTTGAGCTCAGGTTCCCCTCAGTAGCGGGTGGGAGTGGGGCTCGGCACATGACACCAGACCCTGTCCAGCCATCTCCTGCACTGCCTATTGATCGCCTCTCACATTACCAGGGACTGGCAGAAATTGACTTGCATCCATTTATCCGAGTTCAAATTTGTCTCCTTGTTACTAAATTGAGCGGAAAAAGTAGCTCTGAATTTCCATGTCAGCGGAAAGGCCAGCTTTCTTTATCTTCCCCAGGCCTGGCCACTGATCAGGTTCCTCTAATAAGCTCCATCTGTCTCCTTTTACTCACCGCGTCGATAGGGAAGAGGACGTTTATTGAAGAGTAAATCTGCTGCCCTCTGCCTGGCCCGGACCTGAGCCAGCTCAGACTGCAGCCTTGTTCAGCACTGCTGGCTTGAGCCCTTTGGGGACTTGTCTTTTTGCACTGGAATCTGTGCTGTTATAACACAATTTATTAAATACTCAGCTTATGTGTAAAATCACCGTAAATGCTCGGGGAAGGGATTGCATTGTCGGAGGAGTCATCCTTTGGATGAGACGTTAAACCGAGGTCCCATTTGCCTGGTCAGGTGGACATTAAAGATCCCATGGCACTATTCCCCAGTGTTTGGCCAAAAAATCCCCCAAATAGAATCGGACACTCACTGTTTGTGGGACACTGCTGTGCGCAATTGGCTGCTGCATTTTGCCAACAAATACACATTCTCAAAGAGCTTCACATGATGAGATGCTGTATCAAATGCAAGGATTATTATTATATCTGGAACATCACAAGCGATAGATAAACCCACTCAGCAGGCAAATCCTGTTAGAGCATCAATTAAATTCCTAACCCAAATTCCAGGAGGTTTGAGTCTTAAATACGTAGGAACAGGAGTAGGGGCTATTCAGCCCCTTGAGCTTGTTCCGCCGTTGTATTAGATCATGGCTGATCTGTACTCCAACTCCAATTATTTGAACAATTTAAATATTATTTTTAAATTATTTTTAAAAACAGTTCAAAAATTATTTTTAAATTATTTTAAAAATATTTTAAAAATATTTTAAAAATATTTTAATATACAATTTTTCCAGTGACATTTCTGAAGTTAGGTATTGCCTGTGTGTGACAAACACACCTGTTAATTGTTTGAGACGAGATACATGCTAGTTCACTGCTGAAGTGTCCTGCACTCACCTGGGTAATTACTGTAGCAATAATAACTTGCATTTACACATTGCTTTCGACACACAGAAAAGTTTCTAAAGTGATGAGCAGTGAAAAGAGCGAGATGTGAAGATGTTGACCAAACTCACGGTTGAAAGATACATTTTCAAGGAGGTTTTTGAAGTGTGGAGAGAGGATGGGAGGGAGGCAAAGCGGTTTTGGAAGAGTATCAGTTAGCAGCGAGCTAAATTGGCCGTTGGCTGCTGCGTTCACTTACAAATAAATAGTCACTATACTTTTTAAACGGAAAAACAAACACCGAAGATCTTGATAAGGCATTATATCAATTGCAAAGAATTATTATATTATAACTGCTGTATCAAAGGATTATTAATATTAATATTCTATATCCTTGAAATATGCCGTCAGTGCCACATTAATATAATGGATGGAACTACAGTGCTGCCTGATAAACTGAGTGTTTCTGTGATCCCAGTGTCCTGAGGCGATTTGTTATACTGTGTGATGTTTGGGAGATTTGTTGTGCTTGTGATGTTGTACTTTGTGATTTACACAGCAATTTTATTGCACATTGTTCCAGTACTTTTAAAACTCTGAGGCTAAGTGTGGGTGTGTGTGTGTGTTAACATGGAATTGACCAGAAGGAAGGGAATGGACTGAGTTTGGTCTCCACTGGTTGTGTCTCACAAATGGCAGCAAATCACCCATTCTTGCGGCAGCAACTTTAAAGCAATCAGGTATTTTACAGCCACACCAGCTTCTTACCACACATTCAGTACTTAATCCACATTTTCAATCCCCCACTGTTTTGGGGACACTGTGTCACTTGTATTTGCTCAGAGGACAATCAGGTTGGAAATGGTTAGCGAGCCAGATGAAATCATCGCCCGGGGGCCAGATGTGGCCCGTGGGCCGCCGATTGGATCCACCCGTTTTATACAATAGCGAGAATGACGCAAAGCAAACGGGAAATGAGACGCTCTCCTTACCTGCCAACCACTTCCACGTTCGAGATGGCGTAGAAGTATTTGTTCAGATACTCGCGCTGCACGAAGGTACCTCCTGTGGCGGGTTTGATGAGCCGAACGCGGAGGTCGGTGATGGTGAAGAAGTCCCTGAGGCCCTTGTTGCTGTCCATCCTCTTGTACAGAGCCTCCATGTTGCGGAGGAAGGTGCCAGCAAACAGGGCAAAGCGGTCTCTGACCTCAAAACGTAAGTCCTTCTCGTTCTCGTAACCCACCCACCTGGAGTACTGTTCCGTACACAGGATCTGCAGGGCACTCACTGGTGAAAGGTCTCGGACACTTTTGGCTTCCATTCTGAAGGACTCCATGCAGTCCTCTGCGTAGTACTGATAAGGCTGCCATGTCCTGCCATAGTCAAGGGACTTCTCCAGCACCATGACGGTGGGTCGACCTGCCTCGAAGGTGATGACTATATCCTCGGTCAGCTGGATGCTCTTCTGCCAGGACAGGGTGATGTTAGCGAGGAGAGGCTCTGGGTATTTGCTCCACGTGATACTCTGCCAGTACGTCACGGGTCCTTTCCCCTGCTTGTCGAACATGAGCGGTGGAGGATGGGCCAAGTCTCTGTTCGAAGCGTCGCACTCGCTAAAGCACATGTAGGGATTGCCCTGGAATGAGATGTGGACCATTGTTGATGGGACTTGTTCAATGGGTCAACTATAGTTCTTTGGGAACGACAACCATAAATAATAATAATAATAATAATGATATTCATCCTTGAATTTGATACAGCGCTTTATCACATCTTTGAGATGTCTCAAAGCGCTTCACATTGTAAAATGGAGTAACTGTATTTTCTGGACGAAACGCGGCAGCCAATTGCGCACAGCAGTGTCCCACAAACTGTCGTGGATTGAGCGACCAAATTATTTTTGTTTTGGAGGGATTATGAGCCCTGGAAAGCAATCCGCCAATCGATTAACAACCGGGCTCCTACTAACTGCTAGGTAAACAGAGGCGTGCGGAGTAAGGAAACTTGCCTGAGGTTTCACCCTGGCTGGGAATCGAACCAGGGTCCTCTCGCTTGTGAGGCGAGCGCTCTAATCACTACACTATGGGACTCCACTATGCAATGTATATCTACACAGTGTCTTTCACATCAGGAACACATCTGAATTTGTTACACGCAGCTGTCTGGGAGCCCAAGTTGGGAGGGGAGCTAAGGATGGAGAGGGAAGAGTCAATAATGGGGGTTTCAGGATGGAATACCAGAAAAATGGGGGCAGAATGGCTTAAAAGTTCGTCCACTGATGTTGGATGGATCAGGCGGGGGACATAAAACAGCCAGTGTTAGTTGAGTGACCAGGGCAGTAGGGATGTTCTGCAAAGGTAGGAAGAGGCGAGCCTTCGGAGGGATTAGAATACGAAGGTGAGGATCTTAATAATCCCATCATCGTAGTAATAATAATAACAGCAATGATAATGGTAATGATAATAGTAACAATAATAATTTAATCACTCAACCCACGACTGTTTGTGGGACACTACAGTGCGCAATCGGCTGCCGCGTTTCACAGTCACTACACTTGGCAGTATGTCTTGTGAAGCGCTTTGAGACGTCTCAACAACATGATGAGGCACTGTATGAAATGCAAGGATTAGTATTATTATTAGTCACCAAAAGGCAGGCAAACAAGTTTCCAGCTCCTTTTGCAGCATAAACCTTGGTCACACTGCTCGAGATCAAAACTAGTGCAAGATATGCGACCTTCACTTTTTTCCCATAGTAATAATTAATTATGTTTGACCTTGGCATAGTGCCCTATAATTCTCTGTCAGTGTCTGTCTGCCGGCTTCCTCAGATCAGTGAGAGAAAGGACTCACTTAATGATTCTTCTGTAAACTGAGTTTTGGGTGTCTCAGACTTGTCTTATAAGGACGACAGACAGAAGACCATAAAACTAAAAAGGGCACAATTATGAAAAATATAATTCTCTAGTCAATTGGATATGAATTACAAGTTCAAACAAACTTTCTTTTCAAAACTGCACTGGAAACCACATTATATACATACTGTATATATATATACTCACACGTATTATATCTATATATATACATTAAATATATTGGGACGCTCAATATTCACGAAGTCTCGCATTTGAATCTTATTTATCTTAAACTTCATGGTCGAGCAGAATCTTCAATCTGGTCATAATTTGGAAGCTTTTTTTTAAAAATATTTTTTAAAAAAAGCATCTGTATTAAGACTGCAATCAAGAATTTTTCACAGTATAATTCTACCCGATCTTAAAATGAAATAGTCTCGCTTTCTCAGGCAATAGGGGTAAATGTGAGCCTCAAATTCCCCAAAGTAAAAGCAAATCTCTTGAACCGAAGCAATTACAGTTTAAGAAATAAATTTGAACCCAATTATCGTCAGGGAGAAGGTGATTTTTTACTGGCTTCTAATAATCAGTGTTTAAGCCTTGTTTAAGCAAAGTCAGAGACACTCACAAGATGAGGCAACACTTCCTTCAAAGCTTTGCATGTTTGCCCAAAGACAAATATTACTTTTAATTTGCAGAGAAACTGATGTAGAGTTAAAATGGGGGGAAAAAAAAATGAACATCAAATAAAATGGTTGATTCTCTCGGGAGTCTTAGCAGTGCTGAGATTCAACATAACTGACTGTTTTCTGATCTGAGAACTTTTGATGTGGGAAATAATTTCATACTGCATTTTAATAGCGATCCTATCCTCATTAAAAAATATATATATATTGTACAAATGCCAAGGCATTGATTGGAAGGTGATCTGTCAACCAGAGGTAGCGAGAGAATAATAATCCAGGATATAATGTAAAGTGAATTGACTATATTTTGGATATTTTGTATATTTTGTGGGCAAAACGCAGCAACCAATTGCTCGCAGCAGCATCCCACAAACAGTCATGGATTGAGGGACCAAATTATTATTTATTTACAGGTAGAAGCGTTCAGCTGAGTAAGAACAGGGAGAGATTATTATTATTATTTTCATTATTGATATTATTTTTATTATAAACGTAATAGAAATGGTGATCTTTTAAGGTGAGAAAGCTCTTTTAAGGGCACAGCTGTGAAGAAAGTTAACTTTTTTTTAATGAGAGACACAGAGAAGGCGATGTTTAACCTATATAAATATAATAATCCTTGCATTTGATACAGCACTGTTGACACGTCTTAAAGCACTTCCCAGGATATTACTGTAAAGCGTAGTGACTGTATTTTTTTGGGGGGTTGGGGTTGGCCAGGACACTGAGAGAGAAACTCCCTTCTCTTTTCGAATAGTGCCATGGGACCTTTAACAACCACCTGAACAGATAGATGGGACCTGGTTTTATGTTTAATGATGGCACCTCCGACAATGCAACCCCCCCACACCCCCAGCACTGCACTGGAGCATCATCTTGGACCATTAGTTGGCCCAAAATTTGTCTTGAGCATTGTGTCCAGTTTGAGTCATTGCACGTTGGGAAGGAAGCCAGAGTCAGAGAGAGAGAATGGGGAGAGTTACTCAACTGGGACTAGGGTTCGACCTATGAGCAGAGACTGGAGGAACTGGGCCAGCTTTCTGGAACAGAATAGGTTATGGGAAAACTTGCTGGAGGTCCTCACAGGTCGGGAGGGGTCAGTGACTACATGGGGTCAAGTTAAAATAGTTAGCAAGGCAGCAAAGGAGGAGATTGGGATTTTTTTATTTTGTTTTAATCACGCAGAGAGTTGTTTAGAGTGCAAACCCCTCATTGCCCAGCGCCTTGGGACATCCTACTGATGTTAAATGTGAAACACGGCAGCCAATTGCGCACAGCAGTGTCCCGTAAACAGTGGTAAATTGAGTGACCAAATTATTATTATTAATTATTTAGTTTAAAGACTTAACAATGAATGGGCATCAGCCAGTGTCTACTGCATCAGATCTTCTTGTGTCTCAATATATAGCATTCCTGTGTGCGTGTGATTGTGTGTGTGTTTCTCTCTCTCTCTCTCTCTTCCCCGTAATATGTATCTCTGAGTGAAAGTGCTCCAGCTTTTCGCTGTGAGTTTGTAAGGAAACTCTGATCAAATATTAATTTTCCGGAAATGTCTTATTAAATGGAGAAGAGTTGCTAAATCAAGCACCACTCTCTCCGGCTTCATTGATTTTTCTTGCTCTTCCCCTTCGCGCCCCAACCCCACCACACCCCTTAAAACAAAGGTCGTTTGAAAGCAAGGTCACACGCACAGTGAGGCGGGGAAAGATTCATAGTTAAAAATAACATGAACCAGCACACATCCTCAGAGAGGCTGCACATCCAGGGAGGGAGGGAGGATTGGGTTAGGTTTACAAGGGCAAAGTATAACCTGTGGTGGAATTCAGACAGTGAGCAACGACAAAAATTTCAGGGAAGTGTTCAGTTACAGAGCTGAAGTTTTAGCCTTTCGAGAGATGACAACAACAACAACAACAGCTGGCATTTATATAGCACCCTTCACACAGGATAGTGTCCCAGAGCATTTGAAATTGTGCACAGAAGGGGAAAAAGGGGTTAGGCAGGAAAGCAAAGGGGATTGAGGAGGGAAAACACATAGAGAAATGAGATGCACGCATAAATGCACCTGAAATACGGATATCATATTCCGACGGGTTTTGCCTTGTTTCGCCCGCATAATATACAGTCAATTCACTTTTACAGTATATTTTGTGAAGCTCTTTGAGACACCTCAGCGGTGTGATAAGGCGCTACATCAAATGCAAGGATTATTATTAATATTATTTACCCAGGTTAAACCACATCCCAGAAGCTGTTATCTCCATGGCTAAGTCAGTGCCTGACTGACGCTCACTGAGGCTAAACGTGTCACCTTAGGTCACTAGCTTCATCAGATCAGCTGGTGCTCGTGCCCCACACTGGAGCTCTGCACTCTAATCCCACTCCCACGCAGGATGAAACACTGGGCAAGTTTCCTTACTCCACACGCCTGTTTACCCAGTTTACCTAGCAGTAAGTAGGAACCCAATTGTTAGTCGATTGGCAGATTGCTTTTCTGGGGGTAGTAATTCCTTCAAAAAAAAATAATAAATTGGTCACTCAATCCACGACTGTTTGTGGGACGCTGCTGTGTACAATTGGCTGCTGCATTTTGCCCACAAAATATATAGTCAATTCACATCATGGTATATTTTGTGAAGCGCATTGAGACATCTCGAAGCCGTGATAAGGTGATATATTAAATGCAAGGATTATTACTTTGATTATTCCCCTGCTCACTCCCCATCGTGTCTGTGCTGGTGCTTGTTCCCCACTGGAACTCTCTGCTCTAACCCCATTCCCTTGCTCTTCCCCACCAAAAAAAAACCCTGTATATGTTTAACCTTCAATTTCACTGACTCGGGATGTGAGCGAGTGTGTGTGTGTGTCTCTCTGTCTCTGTGCTGGGTCACTGCGGCCCTTCACTGCTCATCAATAACATCAAGAAATACCATGCATTATTAATTACTCTGCGTCTTGCAGTATCTGTCTAAATGGGGGTAAGTGCTGGGGCGCTGGGCTGAGACCACAACTCCATCCAAGGGCGGCTAGTGTCCGACTGTGTCTATTCCAGTCACCGCCAAATAATAATCCCTGCATTTGATACAGCGCCTTATC